AGGCTTTTGCTGAAGCCTGGAGAGCGAGAGGGGTCCGTGCGCACCGACCCCTCTCGCTCTCCAGGCTTCAGGAAGCTATCCCAAGTCTTGCAAGCCCGGCGGGATGTCCCGCGGGCTCGCAAGGCTTGCGGGCAGCAGCCTGCACCCAAAAGCTGGGGACAGCGGGGAGGCGCAGAGCCGCCACCCCGCTATTCCCCGACCTGATCTGGAGGCTGGCGGGGGGAGAAGCAAGCCTGCTTCTCCCCCCCCAGCCCCACAAGCTCGGGGGATAGGGGGATGGCGAAGCGCCGCCATCCCGCTATTCCCCGACCTGATCTGGAGGCTGGGGGTGGGAGAAGCAAGCCTGCTTCTCCCCCCCACCATCCCCACAACCTCCAGATCAGGTCGGGGAATAGCGGGATGGCGGCGCTCCGCCATCCCGCTATTCCCCGACCTGATCTGGAGGCTGGGGGGGGGAGAAGCATGCCTGCTTCTCCCCCCCCCCCAGCCCCACAACCTCCAGATCAGGTCGGGAAATAGCGGGATGGCGGCGCTCCGCCATCCCGCTATTCCCCGACCTGATCTGGAGGCTGGGGGTGGGAGAAGCAAGCCTGCTTCTCCCCCCCCCCCAGCGCCCTTCCCGCTGTCCCCCGACTTGGCTAGAAGGCTGGCGGGGGGAGAAGCCTGCTCCTCCCCGTCGCCAGCCCCGCAAACTCGGGGAACAGCGGGAGAGGCGCAGCGCGCCTTTCCCGCTGACCCCCGACTTGGCTAGAAGGCTGGCGGGGGGAGAAGCCTGCTCCTCCCCGTTGCCAGCCCCGCAAACTCGGGGGACAGCGGGAGAGGCGCAGCGCGCCTTTGCCGCTGTCCCCCGACTTGTCTAGAAGGCTGGCGGGGGGAGAAGCCTGCTCCTCCCCGTCGCCAGCCCCGCAAACTCGGGAGACAGCGGGAGAGGCGCAGCGCGCCTTTGCCGCTGTCCCCCGACTTGTCTAGAAGGCTGGCGGGGGGAGAAGCCTGCTCCTCCCCGTCGCCAGCCCCGCAAACTCGGGAGACAGCGGCAGGGGCGCAGCGCGCCCTTCCCGCTGTCCCCGGACTTGGTTAGAAGGCTGGCCCAGCCCCGCAAACTCGGGGGACAGCGGGAGAGGCGCAGCGCGCCATCCCGCTGTCTCCCGACATGGTTTGGAGGCTGGCGGAAGGCTTCCTCCTCCCCCAGCCCCGCAAGCTCCCAGAGCGATGCCAAAGCTGCGCGCAGCTTCGGCATGGCTCTGGGTCCCGTTCTGGGGGAGGGGGAAGCTCGGGCTTCCCCGCCCCAGCCCCGCGCCTGGCGGGGGGGGGGAATAAATTTTTTTTGCCTTTATTCCCCCCCCAAATCTAGGTGCGTCCTATGGACCGGTGCGTCCAATAGTCCGAAAAATACGGTAATACTGTTTTGTAGCTGAAAAGGGACTGGTGTGAGTTTTCTGTCATAGATTACAGGATGGTGAGTAGGGGAAGAAAGACAGCAGCAGAGCCATGACCCATAGTGAGAGTGGGTCCTGCTTATGTGGTAGTGGCAGGCAATGCTCCCAGGTGAGACCTTACTGTTTCTGAGAATGAGTGGCAAAGTAAGAAGTCACCTCTCGGACTAAGGGATACAAGGCTAAGAACGCAGGGGAAAGAGAGGCCACTGTTTCCGGAGAAGCAAAATATTGGGTGTGCTATGAAAGAGTCTGCAGGTAGGATGCGCTTGGGTGTGAAATCGAGGTGTGAAATTGAAAGATACTGGGAGGGTTGGTCTTGTGTGGGTTTTGCAAGTTTTTTTTGGCTTTGTAAAGTCTAAAACGAGACATACTGTACGCTACGTTGAGACTTCTGGATAGTGCATCCCAAAGTCAGTTGACGTTTTTACAAGTGCCTACTGTACTCCCAAGATTTAAGCATTTTAGAAGTCTTAATTTTAAGTAGTCTTTGCAATAATTTTATTTAGATTTGACTGCTTAATAATACTGAATAGGAGAAATTATGACTTTTTCCTCTACCAAAGAGTGAATCCCAGAAAGATTTGCATCCTTGAAATAATTTTCTCTTTCATGTGACATATCTCATTTTCACATGACATATCTCATGTCTCTAATGTGGCCTGTTCCATAACATGCCTTTTTCTATGGTCACCTAATGACTGCTGATAGTCTTCATTTCAAATAATAATCTGATGTTATGGAATAGCAGCCTGGCCCTATTGCATAAGAAGGCACTTTCAGACCCTGAGTCTGCATGCCACGTGGGGTGGGCAGGATAAGGAAGTATCGTACAGTAGTAGTCGTAGTTGTAACATCATCATCATCATTACTCACCCTGTACCCTAAGGTACCAGGGCAGATGTCAAAAAAAGTTTGATATTTTGGAATGTGTGTGTAAACTTCTGCAAGAAAAGTAGTTGGTAAAACATATATTTGCTGAGACCACCCTGATTCTTTTTCACAAGGGTTGTTCTTCTCTATGAGAAATAATTCTACTATAATGCTTTCTATCAATTTACCTAGAATCTAAGCTAACTGTCCTGAAATGTGTTGACTTCTCCTGTCTCAGTTTTTTTAGCTGCTTTATGATGGCCATTTCCCAGTTTTCCAGTAAGAAGGTTGATTTTCTTGCCTTATTGTGAACTTTTGTTAGGATATCAGCAATGTTCACATAGATGAGTCCTTGAGCAGTAGGGTGTATGAACATTAGAAGAGTGAGCTGGATCAGGCCCAGCAGCCCATCTAGTCCAGCATCCTGTTATCACAGGGGCCAAGTGGATGCCTGTGGAAAGTCTGAAAGCTGGACCTGAGGAGAACAACTCTCTCCACACTTGTGATTCTCAGCAACTGACATTATGCCTCCAACAGTGGAGATCGAACCTAGTCATCAGCTAGTCACAGTTGATATCCTTATGCTTCATGAAAGCTTTAGTATTTGTCAGTTAGCTGTAGAACCTCACCTCTGTTTGATTCAATTCTTCAGATGTTAGCCCTGAAAAGATAGGTTCAGGCATGGGTATCAGTCAAGCATTTTCAGCAGTGAAGGCTGATGCAAAGATATAAGCTTCTCTGCAATCACCCTGTTCTCCCTTAGCTTCTGTTTTGTCATCTAACAATCCAACTAGCTCCCTGGCTGTCTTAAATGTTACAGCAAGCCTTCCAAAGTTGAGGAAGAATCGTTTGGGTCTTCCTTTATTTACATTGTCTGCAAGGATAATCTATATTGTAATCTATAAACTCTGTGAATTAACTAATTTTCACATACTGGTTATTTTGAATATTTTTAGGTAATTGGGGAGTGGGAAACACATGTATATTGAAGTCCCATTGCCCACTGGAACTCTGATTCAGCTCTTCACCTGTGGATTATACCAGTCATTTTCTACATATTTTCAAGCCATTTTGAGCCAAGGAATCAATAACTTGCTTTTTCTTAAAAAAAAACCTGCAATGCTTTATCAGCATAGAATTGCAGAACAAACATAGCTCTGTTCAAGGACCAATGATTTGAGAAATTGCTAATTGGTACTTTTCTGGCTCTGTGTTGATTGGATAAAACCGTTAAACTTAATGAGAGCTATATGTGTAGAAAGCTGTTTTAGAGAAAATAAGACCCCTTAAATGTTGGATCTTATATTTTGCCTGTAGCATCTGAATGATGGGCATTTTTTGAGGCTTTATTGTTTTTTGCCTGAAATCTAAATAGGCCATTATGACCTACTTGGATCCATAGCAACAGTGTGTTGCATCCTGAATCATACAAATTCAGAAGGATCAACATGGAAGTGAGCGGTGTCTGTATGGAAGTTAAGAAAAGGGTTTGTGGTTTAGTTTTTTGATGCAGATTTTTTTTTACAGTATATGCTGACTAGTGGTGAACACTCTTGTCTTTTACTCTGATAGTCCCAAAGAGTTCTAACTCTCTTAAAGTCCAGATCTACTTTCATTAGGATTCTAGGCCCCATTTTTCAACTCTGTTTTGATAAGGGAGTGCCCTTGGCTCAATAGAAAGTAACACATGCCCCCAACACAATTTCAGGAGTCTCACTTGGCCTTCTGTTGAACCTGTCTTCTTTTTATCTGGGTACAAGCAACCCCTGATTCGTGCGAGGGATGCGTTCCGATTCATCACGCACAACGGTATAGCCTGCATAAGCCTGCTTGGCCTCTTCCGCCCCCACCTCCACTTCACCCCCTTTTCCAGCCACTTCCAGGTTACTGTGATGCTTGCATGTGAGGTTGCGCACATATTGAACACCTGTACAGTGGTACCTCAGGTTAAGAACTTAATTCGTTCCGGAGGTCCGTTCTTAACCTGAAACTGTTCTTAACCTGAGGTACCACTTTAGCTAATGGGGCCTCCCACTGCTGCCGCGCCACCACCATGCGATTTCTGTTCTCATCCTGAGGTAAAGTTCTTAACCTGAGGTACTATTTCTGGGTTAGCGGAGTCTGTAGCCTGAAGCGTCTGTAACCTGAAGCGTCTGTAACCCGGGGTACCACTGTATATCGGTTGTTGCCTGTCCTTGTAATGGATTCAGGGAAGTTTAGGATACATATCTGTCTACTGATACATGGGATTTGTTTAGGCAATTTTCACTTATTCCTCCTCCTCCCTGTGACCCCTGAAAAACCTCTTCAGTAAATTAGGGAATCCTCCAGAATCAGAAACAAGAATTAGCAAAACCTTCCCCTCCTCCAGCACGAGCTTCTCTTAGTTTAGAGTCACATCTGTGGAACGGAAACTCTGGATCCAACTCGATGTTTCCACAATGTTCTTGGCTAAATGAAAATCAGTGTTTACTTGGTATGACTTTATATTAAATGTTTTAACTAGTAACTAAATGCTTCCTATAGCTTTTTATTTGGACACACCAATTTGTGGAGTCACAGAAAGCTAACACTTTGATTAGCATTATATTGTAACCATATATTTATTCATCCATTTTCAGTGTATGGGCTAAAACTGTACATGATCCCTATTGTTGTATTCACCATGCAATTTTTCTTTTGCTTTTTCTGCAGAGGATCACAAATAGCAGCAGTTCCCCTAGCCTTCTTAATGACAGTGCCAAGCCCTATGCAGGCCACGGTAAGAAGTTGACTTTCTTAACAAAAAATATTTAATATTTAACAATATGTTTATGTTAATATTTAGCAATAGTTATGTTAAGCTATTTTTATGGGGGCAAAGCTTTCAATCTTTAATGTGGTTTCAGTATCTTTAGATTCTTATCTTGATTTTGCTAATATTGCTAAATCATTAAAGCATTTGTATCCTGCCTCTTTCAACAAGTGAGCTCAGTTTTAATTATCATTAATGCTTATAATCACCATTTTGTTTTGCTTGCTTTCCATATGTTACTCTGCAACATGTGATATTAAAAAAAATGGCAGATTAAATACAGTGGTGCCTTGCAAGACGAAGAGAATCCGTTCCGCGATTCTCTTCGTCTAGCAGTTTTTTCGTCTTGCGAAGCAACCCTATTAGCGGCTAAGCGGATTAGCGCTATTAGTGGTTTAGCGGCTTAGCGGCTATTAAAGGCTTAGCGGCTTAGCTGCTAAAAGGCTATTAGTGGCTTAGTGGCTTAGAAAAAGGGGGGGAAGCGGGGGGGGGAATCGCAAGACTAGCAAGACGTTTTGTCTTGCGAAGCAAGCCCATAGGGAAAATCGTCTTGCGAAGCAACTCAAAAACGGAAAACCCTTTCGTCTAGCGGGTTTTCCGTCTTGCGAGGCATTCGTCTTGCGGGGCACCACTGTATTTGAACAAAACTCTTGGGAGCAGTCTTTGGCCAGTATTCAAAGAGTTACTTGAGATAAACCTGAGGGCTTGGGCATGCACAGAGAAATTGCTGTAAAGAGCATAGGCCCTACCTTCATATATTACATTTTAGAGCCACATAGTAAAACAATCTGCTTACAAGCAATACATATTTCCTAAACACTCATCCACTTTTGTTGAAAATGGAAAGCTATTTTGGTTCTTGTGACCATCTTTTCTAGATTCATCTTCGTTGGGGTTTAGGCCCAGCTGTATGATGTATGGAGGATGGCAGCACGAGAGAGAGCCTTTTCTGTGGTGTCTCCCCATTTGTGGAATGCTCTCCCCTGGGATACACCTGGGATACACCAGGAGGCTCACCTGGTGCCTACATTTCATATATTACATATATTCTCTACAACCAGTGCTTTGGCTGATTACCATTCTATGGCCTTTTAAATGTGTTTGTGGGAGGGGGTTTATTGGTTTGTTTCTGTTTTATTATGTATTTTGTGTTACCATTTTGTATTTTTATGTTATGAACCACCCTGTGATCTTCGGATGAATCAATCAGTCAATCAAATATTCCTTTCCCCCTGGGCATTTCATTAAAACAATTTAGGAGGCAGACTGTCGTAGAGTCATGGGCATCCCATATAATCTGTTTGTATTTTAATGAAATATAATAATCACCTATGCAAGTGTTGATGTTATAGGTGTAGGCAGTTCTGTCTGTAATCCTTTAAGCACCTGTCCATGGAAAACATATGCCATCAAGTAGCTATATGAATTTACATGCTAACTTTTCTAACAATTCCTACCATCAGTGCTAGGAACCTTCAGTTGTGCTTCTTTTCCATATGGGAGTCACTTATAAGTAAACAAGGAAGATTTTAAGGGATGTGTACATTAATTTTGAGAGCTTAAGATTGCAGAGGACATCATGCAGAATTATCTGGTAGTTGAGAAACTTCGACTTAAAGCACACACAACTGTGAATTAATTAACATATGCCAATGCTAAGTTAACTTCTGATTTCAGTAGGACCTAAATGCTGATATTGATAAAACATAGCCTCTATGCAAGTAATCTCCTAAACTAGCCCTTGTATTCCAAAGTCCAAAGAAATTGATAAGCACCACAGTTTTACAGGGCATAGTGATTGTTAACAGAGGGGGAAAGTTAATTCCACTGAACATGCACAGTTCCTTAGGCACATGCCAAATTATTTTCTGGCTCTACTTTGCAGATTTCAAACACTAACAATGTTATTATATTATATTTAAAATATATTATTATTTTATATCTGCATGTGTTTTGTAACCTTTTTTTCCAGATTCTCTTACTTCACCTGGTTCATCCTTGTTCAACGACTTTGCTGCCCTCAGCTTATCTCAAAGGAGAAAAGTAGGTATTGCCAGAGTTTCTAGATAACAAAAGAGCCACTTGCTTTATTACATACAGCAACTGATAGCTTACAGAGTAGCATCAGTTAGATATATGGCCATATGTAATGCACATTTCTGGGCATGCATTTCAGTTCATTTACACAATTGCTTGTAATTTTCCAGATCAGTGCACTCTAACTTAATCCTTCCCCTCACAATACAAGCAATGCCTTTCCACAATGTTCTATTCAGTGCAGTTTTTTTTAGAAAAAGAGGTGTCGGAACTCACCATGAATGCCTCCCTTGTTCTCTTATAATGGCAATGGCACTCACCTGAGAGGTGCCGGAACTGAGTTCTGGCTGAATAAAAGCCCTGGTTCTATTGCAATTTGTGGTAAAGACAACATCTTCAAATAGGTGTCTATCAACCTTTATTCCAAACAACTCTTTATAAATCCGCTGTTTAAGGAGAAAACTTCCTGCAGTAGTCACATTACATAGAGCCATGAAAAATCTGTAAACCATAGACTGAGTAGCTTTTACTCTACCCCTGCAGAGAATTTAAAAATTGTGATCATTAAATGTCCCCCAACTTATCAAAGCAGTCACTTTCCCTTTATTGAACTTCTGGAGGTTTCTGTTGTAAAATTTTCAAGGTTAGTTAGCTTTTCTTTGCTTGTGAAAATTGCAATAAGAAACCAACATTTACAATTTAATATTATGCCATGTCCTTTTTATTGCTTTCCCAAGTAACAATCTTTTATGTGCCACTTCATTAAATGAATGCTGTTCTTTGTTGATATTGAAGACTTCTGATCTCAAGACTTCACATTACAAAAAAAAATATGAGTTAAGACTTTTTTGTCTTCGCTAGGCAAGGTTTGACAAAATCTGGGACATTGGCCAAAACTGATTGGTCCCCAAGCACCTTTTCCCTTACTCTTTTCGGCTGTAATATATTAAAGTACAGTGTAAAAAAAATGGTTCATTCTCAAGGGAACCAAAGTTTAACAGTACAATTAGCAGAAGATTTTTATTGGCTGAATAAAAGGTAAAGGTACCCCTGCCCGTACGGGCCAGTCTTGACAGACTCTAGGGTTGTGCGCCCATCTCACTCTAGAGGCCAGGGGCCAGCGCTGTCCGGAGACACTTCCGGGTCACGTGGCCAGCGTGACATCGCTGCTCTGGCGAGCCAGAGCCGCACACGGAAACGCTGTTTACCTTCCCACTAGTAAGCGGTCCCTATTTATCTACTTGCACCCGGGGGTGCTTTCAAACTGCTAGGTTGGCAGGCGCTGGGACCCCGCACCCCGCCGCGGGGATTCGAACCGCCGACCTTTCAATCGGCAAGTCCTAGGCGCTGAGGCTTTTACCCACAGCGCCACCCGCATCCCATTATTGGCTGAATAGAGAATAACAAATAATTTGACTGCTGTCACAAACCGAAGTGACTTTTGGGCTTCTTGTTCTTTGGGTTGATATAGGCAGTAGTTTGTTTTAATGCCCCACTGTCCTATCTGTGTATATATAATTTTGCAGGTTTTTGAAGCATTACAAAAACAAGTTTGATTTTTAGCAAAGACATATGGAGGGGAAAGGCAAGTGTGTCTGTGCAGATGGTGATTGCTTTATTATAATTTAAGGGAACACACAAGACCACTAACAGGGTTTTCATCCCATCTAAAAGTATGTGAAGGCATAGTTTGCATAAATAAATCCTTCTAAGAGAGAAATACACATGTGCTTGGATAATTGCAATTGCTCAAATAAAAGTCACTGTGATGTGCAAGTCATGATGACTGTGTGTACATCCCTAGGTAGGGGTGCTGACTCATACAAATGAGGTTTTGACACCTGGCCTTATTGCAAGCCCATCAACAGCCTCACACACTCAAGGAGGTGGTTGGATAATTGCCACTGAATGTACAAAGCCAGTTTGGGGACCCTGAACAATATACTCCCACACAAGCATTGCACCATCTACTTCATTCGCAAAATAGCTTCTGGGTAATACATTTCAAGATTAGGGCGTTAGGTTGTCAGCGATTTAAATAACAGGGATTTATGACCAGTTAACTGTCAGAATGTTATACTAAGATCTGCTGCCACTGAAACAACCGGGATAATTAGCAGGGGTGGACTTTGGTAATATGGCACCATAAGTGAGGACATAATTTGGCGCCCTCCCCCATCTTGGTTTCCGTTCTGCACATCCTCTGAAGTGCAGTATGCCATAGTTTTGCGTCCTCCTGGCTCGGCTTTCCTGTGTAGGAGAGCTGCACATACCATCCTAAATCTTGCGCTGTAATTAGCTGCCTGTTAATGTTGTGCACTTACATTTAAGCCAGTAGAATATAGGAAGTTTTGATTGTTAAGCCCCTCTGTGGTGCATATAGAAGAATCAAGTGTTAAGTGCATTGCAGTTTTTGTTCTGTTACACTCTTGTTTTAATTTTGTAGGAGAAATTTGCTGTTCTGAGCAATTAGGGTGCACTGTTGTGGTTCGGAAGGCCTGAATTTTTTTAAAGATCTGAGGAGCTTTTCTGTAAAAAGTGTCTTCTTTCCTTGTGGAAACATTTTGGATGGATTTTGCTTGAATCTCTTGTGTCCTAAAAGCTGGGCAAATAAAGCCTACAGTGATGGAATTAGCATTCTTTATAGTAGTAGTGGTGGGTCTTGGTGCTATAAAAGAGGCAAAAAGACATTTTCATTTTTATTTTAAAAAGGCTATTTGAGATTTAAAACATCACTGCAATAACATTCTGCTTTTCCGGTTATCTTTATAGTTTGAGACTAGCATGTATATTGAAGTTACTTTAAGTTGTCTTTCTGGTCTGCGGTTTCACAGCAGCCAAAGTTTTTGTGGAAGGATGGCATTCAAGTTTCTTAGTTAATGGCTTCAGCTGCCTGTGCGCCTTTACTCATGACTGAGGGATTGGGTCACAGGATTGTGCTATTTGTCTACTAGCCCCTTCTGTCTCGCTCATGTACAGCCAGATTAGTGGTAAGAATGCTCAGTTTTGGTACAAAAGTAGCTACAAATTGTGCTTAAGTGTGTGACATGCGGGATACACACACAAGAAAAAAGGACATTATATTGTAGCCATTCCCATCCTTTTAATTATTGCTAATGACTGGTATGCATTATAGCTTCATTGAGTTTTCTAGGTGCAGCATAACAAAAGCCAGGATTTTGATTGTTCAACCTGTTACGTCTTCAGTTACGTTGCAGATGGAGGAAATACTGGTCACTAAGGATGTGTTGTGAAATTGAATTTGCATTTTTGACTTTGCAATTTGTGTCTCAACATTTTAAAAATGTGGTCTTTTAAAGAATGTTGAGAGAGGCAACTTTAATCTATCGTTCCATCAGTTAAAATGAAATATGTGGCATAGCCTAGAGTTAAAATTTAACTCTATACTTAAAAATCCACCAGAATTTAACTCTTTTCTCTGATTTCTAATATTTATCTTCACATTTTCAATTATTCTCAAACATTGGGGCCATAGCTGTATAAGATATAAGACAGTGATAGCTAAAACCGTTCCAGGTTTTGCAACTCTTGAGTGAATCGCCCCCACTCCAGTGTCTCATATTGCCAAATGCTGAGCAGCATAACACCATAGCATGGATTAGTAACTAATCAAGAGTTGATCAGGATGTTTCCCCTTTTTCGCGTTGGTATTTTACTGCTTCCTCTTTTCAATTGTATATATGCCGATTTTATGAGAAGGCTCTATCATGTACCCCAGAATATAGGTAATACAAGCATGTTAGAGTTCTATCCCCCTTGACATACATGTAGGACTGTTTTTGGAAACGTGTTCAGTCATGTCAACCCCAAGACCAGGCACATTTTACCCCATCACCTATTTCTTGTGAGAACAAGGTCACAATATTAGCACTACTTATCCAGTGCTGTTGTTGGTTGTTTAGTCATTAACCATGAAGGTTGCTAAATTGGGCCATGTTAGCACTTTATCCAGTTTAAGCTGAGTATTGGTTTTTCTACAGTTTTTGGGCTTCCAGCTTAATCATAGCCAATGAGGTTAATCCAAGATAATTATTGCTAGTTTAAAATTTCCCCATCTTGCATTGATACATACTTGTTTCTGAATAAATATGGACTACGCTGAAATTGCCAGACCCAAGGCAAATCCAGTTTCTCATTTTATCTGTTTCTAAAACCATTAGTCACTGTTGGGACAAAACCAAGAAACAGGTGACCGTAATATGAAAAGATCCATGCAACTGGACACTCAGTTCCCAGTCTCAATCTTGCCAAATCTACATTTAATCAGGTTAGGCTATTGTTCTTGGTTGAGTAATAAATGCACCCAGATATTGCAAGGGGGAGGTATGAGCTACCACATCCACTCATTTTCCTGTTTTTCAGATCAAAATTGTCCTCTCAGGGTGTGTTTCCCTTTTCAGATGGATATGCAGCACTGGATGCAGTGATTTTGAGCTGAAAAATAAGTAGCAGGGAAAGAGTTAGGCAGTTCTTCTCCAGCCACTACTGACTAAAAATTGATTGAGCCTTGGAAGAGACATATATAATTGAGTCCTTGCTTTGAACAGAGTTGGCTTTATGGAAAAAAATCCTCAGGAGATCTGAATTGCTGCTTAAGTGCTTGCATAGCTGGTAACCTAAACTCTTATCAAGATCTGCATAAAACTAGTTGGACACATACATTAGGTATTATTAAAGGCATGGTTTCTTGTCCAATTTAGTCATGTTCTTTAAGTTTAGCTTGACAAATGTAGATACGATTTCTTTTGGCGTTCACTTGTTTTATTTGCACGAAAGTGTGTGTATATATTTAAAAATCTATCTTCTGTTTTTTGAAAATGAACTGTTGCAGTCAACATGCTTCATATGCACACGTTTGTCATATAAGCAATGGTGATTTCAATGTTTTGGGGAAAACCCCATTTAGAACAGGTTGGATGAAATTTCATTATTAGTTTAATATTCCTGTGGATGTTGTCTTCTGACCTTATTTAAATATTCAGAAAACAATTTCATAACTTTTTGCTCTGGGTAATGTTCTTACCTCTTGATGGTTTTTTAATTATCTTTGTAGATATTGAACTTTGTGCAGCACACTTCTGAGATTTTACAATGGGTTGTTCATGCAGAGATTGGATGGCCATCTACCATGGATGCTTTAGTTGAGTTTGCTGCATTACAGGGCGTTGGACTAGATGACCCTTGGTGTCCTTTCCAACTCTACAATTCTGTGATTCTCTGTGTGGGGAGAGGTGAACTAAACAAGTAGATATTGGATTCAAGCATCCATGAGATCTCTGTTTTGGAATTAATATGTCTTCAATGAGGAGCGTAAGCTAAGGTCTGCTTCCAATCCGTTCCTGTAAAAAAATAATGAGAAGTAATTTTATCATGGGTCCATCCTAGGATAACTACATTGCAAGTATTTTGTATGGGTAGTTGTACTCCATTAGAGCATTTGGGGAAGACACCCCTGGTTTAGAATAATTGTGAGACAAGAATTTTCCATGGGTATTTTGAATGGAATATATACTGGAGGAGCAAGCAGTACATCTATATCCAACTAATTTTCTTGATGAGCCACTTAACTGAGCAATGGACAGTAAACCAGCTGTTCAGCTTCAATTTCTTAAAAGTTATCTGCTAGAAAACTTTATTGCTGCATTTAGTAGTAGGCACTGCACCTTAGGGCCAGCTTTAACCCAATGTCTGACTTCTGCTGTAGCTTACTGAATACTTATTTTGATGAGCAGGAAGCTTCTCTAGTGACATGAGTTTATGGGTCATTAAGTGCTTGCTTATTATATACATCTCAGAGTTCATAATTTTATACTGTCTGAAAACTCAGCAGGGCTTTCTTCACTGTCAGCAAGGATACAGCTTGTAAATAAGGATAGTTGCATTTCATAGTAAACCTTTGAGAGCGTATTGTGTGTGTTTTTCTGAATTGTTGAGTAATTACTGTTCTTGGAATTACTTTTATTACTTCATATTTACTTTCATAGGCAAGATGATACCTTACTTTTATAAACACATCTGGGGTTTGAATGTACACCTTCAAAGCTTAAAAATACAAGTATTTCATTATCACCTGTGTGCACCAGTAAAAACAGTTGTAATAAGAGATTATATGCCTTTCTTTGTAAGCAACTCTTTGCGACTAAATATGTTAACTTGACCTGGACAACATTTCAAGGAAAAATTATCTATCTCCTTTTGAGACATTTATGCCAGAACTTCCAAGGTTTCTCTTTTGAACAGTTGGATTGTATTTAATGAAATCTTATTCAGAGTAGACCCACTGAACTTACTGGGCTTAAGTTAGTCAAGTCTACAGTGGTGCCCCGCAAGACGAATGCCTCGCAAGACGAAAAACTCGCTAGACGAAAGGGTTTTCCGTTTTTTGAGTCGTTCCGTAAGACGAATTTCCCTATGGGCTTGCTTCGCAAGACGAAACGTCTTGCGAGTTCTTGCGAGTTTGTTTCCTTTTTCTTAAAGCCGCTAAGCCGTTAATAGCCGCTAAGCCGTTAATAGCCGCTAATAGCCGTGCTTCGCAAGACGAAAAAACCGCAAGACGAAGAGACTCGCGGAACGGATTAATTTCGTCTTGCGAGGCACCACTGTACTGATTTCACTGGGCTTACTCTGCCTATATTTGTTCATTTACAACCCATTATTTCCAAGCCCAGTCCTTTCTGTCCTCTGGAATCTGTTCATAAATTCAGGTGTCAGAATATAGTATCCTGGTTGGAGGTATGTAGCAGGCAAAGCTTTTAGTTTGACCTGGCACTACATATTTCAAACAAGTCTTAGTTTATTTGAAGTGATATAGATGTGACTTTTCTAATAAAATGTCAGAAATATTAGGACCAGCTTGTTCTGCAATCCTATTGGATTTTCCTGGGAGTGAGTCCTATTAAATTCCGTGGGACTTACGGTATTTCTGAGTAAATGTGCACAGGATTGCACTGCGAGTAAAGGTGGAATCTAATTGGTGTCCCCAATTGGGAAGTGGGGGGAGAGTGATACTGTCTTCCTACTGCTCCCCATGCCGCCCTGTTCTGGAGTGTCCCCCATCTCTCTGGCACTGATGTTTTATGGGTGCTGCGGGGGGAGGGATGGGGAAAAATGCCTCCCTTTCTTTTACATTAGTAGGGGTGTCTATCTGCAGAATCAAAAGTTCCTCAGTTAAGTGCAAGGGCACCAACTGGAACCCACTCCAAACTATTTTTGCTTGTTGACTCCTCTCAACTTCCTTTTCCAAGCCACGGCAAGTCAAATGACCAGAGTCAGAAATTTTACTTGCAAATTGTTTCCTATTCCACCAATCAAACCAAATATATGTTGTCATCTAGTTCTAGTTTGAGTTTCAGACTAAGGGATGTTGGGAGTGCCCTGGTTTTTTTCCTTCTTTTCCATAGCCAAGGAAGTATCGACTGGGGATGCTGGAGGAGAGAATAGTTCCGGTGGGATCAAAGGCAAGAAAATCAAAGAACACTATTGGCTGCTTGGCTGACAGGTGTAAAACAGGAGTACCCATCAATATGGTTTGGTGGAACAGAGTCACAGAAAACAATTTACAGGTAAAATTACTTTTTTCTAGTCACTTTAATTAATTTTGGCTACTATTTTTATTTTTTCAAAAATGCTGAGTTAGATACATATGATGGGCCGAAATTTGGCTGAAATCTTCACAGGTCAAATGTACAAATGACAACAAAAGTGACTATTTAATAAACTACACACTTCCCAACTAATGTTCTGCATCATCTAGTTTGGGTGGCAAGAGTAATATATTTAAAGAAAACACCTTAGAAGTTGAAACTTATTTTCTTTGAAATAGCTGAAATAATTTGAACAGTATTTAGACCCTCCAGATGTTGCTAGACTGCAGCTCCTGTTATCGCTAAACATAGGCTGTGGCTGGCTGTGAAAAGTTGAGAGTCCATCAACATCTGGAGAACCGCAGATGTTTCAGAGAGCAATCGTAGTGCAAAACTATGTTATCTTATTTGTACTCCTTATCCTAGCCCACAGAAGAAACTCACTCAGCATCTAGTGACTTTAATTGCCTTTGGTTATCTTTGACGTTACTATGAGTAGGAATAGATCTCTGGCACTTTCTGCCCTGTGATTAGCACCCTAGGGACTTTCAATGGGCATTATTGCTATATGTTGTGTTGAGGCTCTAGATGGGTACTTGTTCCAGTGGAATAGAGAGGCACACTCAACCTCTAAGTTAAAAACAGACTGAGACAGGAGTAGTTCACAGAATTAGCATGAGACTGGGAAGAATGGTCACCCAGTGAATCCCCTCCCCCCCATGTCTTACTATTCTTGTTTGCTTCCGCTGTACATGGGAACAATAGCATATTTACTGTTCTTTGTATAAATCATACTAATAGTTTTCTTGTGTAGTGCCAGGTAGTTAATGTGGCTTGTAGGCTATATTGTTGCACAAGTCAGAGGCTTTACAGAGGATGTTTTCCCCTTTAGGCCTTGACTTACTCAGTGTTTGCTTTGGCTGATCTTAGGGTTAGAATGACCTGATTTCAGTTAAACTGTGATTTGAAGTTAAGTGTGTCTTTGGTTTCACATCGGAAAAGTCATACAAAGAGAGAGAGAATGAACTCAAGCTGATTAATTTAGTGTTGCTGTTGTGGTGGTGGTGTTTGTCAGTAGTTGAATTTGGGTATCCAAGAAGGAAGAATGGTTTGCAGCATTCCATATTGTACATTATATAGAGAAGTCACAATGCATGTGCTAAGTAGGTTGCCGAACTGAAAGGTTTTGTAGAAAAATGTGGCCTGTTCAAGTTTGCATTGCCCCCCCCCCCGTCTAGCAACTTGTGTTTCTCACTGCGTATGCGCGCGCACACACACACACCTATATACACACACAGATTGCAACCTTGGTTATTTTAATATATGAACACCACATTCTCTGCTGCTTTTATGTAAACCATGGAAATTTTACTTCTCTATTCCACTGAAGAGCTCAACGTTGTGTGCTCCCCGCGCCCCCCAAAAAGAGTAAGTTTGCCTGAGAGAATGTCACAACTGTTTTTAGTTGCTAGGTTTATGAATATTGAAAAGAGCCAGATTGATGTATATAAACTAAGCACATTTGCCTTGTTTGTATGAATGTTGTACTTCAGTTCTTGCACATCATGTATGATTTAATGGAATCTACAGCATTAAATCGCTGCGTTGTGGTATAATATGCCACTTGCAGCAACATCTGCAGTAATTGTAGATTTGGCCTGTACATTCTGCAAACCTCTGTTTATACATGTTGGTCCCTTAACATGCTTCCATTGCAGCTTGTGAAACAAAGATGTAGGGTCTCATTGTTAGAACCCAGAGCCATTGCCAAAGGACCAGGCTTCAGCATCAGCATAGCAGCAGTGCTGTTTCAGTATAGAAGTGGGGATAAAAGGCCCCCCAATGCAAGAATGATTTGACTTAGGAGAATCTCAAGCTGATATGGCTCTTACAGCCATTTAGACTACACTAGGTGGCCTAACTTGCCCGTCCTCTTCCTCATGTTCACCTCCATGCTCCTTATCTGCAGCACAAATGAGCCAGGAAAGGGTGTGTGCACATTGTGTGGATTGCAAGATCTGCAGCCAGTGGATGAGAATCCAGCCCACTGTCTCATGCTACTGAGCTCTTTTAATTGTCGTACTTCTAATTAATTTCACTATATTGTAGAGGTGGTTGATTTGTGGCCAGTCTGTAACCCTCCCGAGGATTCTGATACTGGAATTAGCCTCATACTGGGATTCTGAGAATCTTAGTGAGGTGGCAAAGCTGATGTTTATGATGTTTGTTATAATACATTTTGGCCTTATTCTGTAAATGAGACATAAAAGTCATGATCTGAGGCATAACGGGGTCACATTATGACCATTGTGCTTGTGAGTTTTTTATCTATCCATGGTGATGTCTTCTCAGTATAAACTATTCTAGAAAGGACCATAACTTGGTGTTTCCTAAGGGCAGTTAAAAAGTTCATGCATGTGCCATTAACTAGGTTTTGATCAAGCAGAGTTTGTAATAAGACACATGGTTTCTTGCTGCTCTGTAAATTTAAATAATTTGTTAGCATAAACCTAACATGTACTAAAGTTAAAAAGGACCAAGCAAATTCCAGAAGTGTAGTTGTGTTAGTCTGTTATGACGCCACAATCTCTTGGCCTTCAAGGCACCGTAACATTCTTTGTTGAATCTTGAGAAATTCAGAAAAACACTTCCAGGATATTTCAGTTTTTTCCTGTATTTTAGAGTCTCATTTCAATTAAGCATTCAGATGTGTACATGATGACAGATTTGGCCCTTGTTTGGGAAATTGTTTACTCTTCCATCTAAAGAAGTATGTTGTGACCCTTAGTTGGAATTTGTGAATGTACTAGTTTGCTCCTGGAACAGTTACAGCTTTGAGTTTTTCCCTTTTGTTGCTTCCTTAAACAGTAATGCAATTCTAGAAAAGCAATTTGAATTTATCCTTCTAGACCATGAATGAAGAACCCAAGGTCTGTGGACAGTAAAAGACTCTTCCACATCATTTCTGTGTAACCACTTGCAACCAGCTACAACATGTTATCTGTTAATTTGGTATCTCTCCCTCCTCCCTGGTCCAGCTGCAGCCCATCTTCAGTGAGGATGAGAATGTTGTACCTTAAGAAGATAAGGAAGGTGCTTGCCTTAAGGCTGTGTCTTGTGGGAGGAGCATGCTAGTAATAGGCCTGACAATAGAAGCAGAGCCTGAGGATCATAGTGCTTGTCTGAGAAAACCTACATTGTGCGAAAAGGTTTTGTACCTGCGTTCTGGCAGAAAGGGGAGAAACAATGTCTGTCTGCTTTGAAGAAAATGTGTACATGTCTGTTTTAAGGAAGAGGGAGAATGTTTATTGCTTTGAAAGGTGTATACATTGATTTATGTAGAATATATTCAGGTATTTGTTGAGATTCCCTCAGGGTCCCGTCCAACTCTGCAATTTTATGATTCAATGTGGAAAAGGAAATGGGAGTAGTGTAATTTTTAACATGTGTGAAGACAGTTGGCTAATCAGCATTTTTATACTATGTGAACAACTTAGCTTTATATTTTTCATTAAGCTGCATATGTTGTTGTTTAGTCGTTTAGTCGTGTCCGACTCTTCGTGACCCCATTGACCAGAGCACGCCAGGCACTCCTGTCTTCCACTGCATATATATTTTGCTAAATAAGTAAAAATAAAATTGGCAATTTGGACTTTAAATGCTTGTGTTATCTGTTCTATTTATATCCTGTACTTGAAGATTTTATTAATGGTATAAAGATGTAAAATGAGGACCTATGTATTCATTGAATCAAAGAGATAGTGAACAAAATATTTGTTCTTGATTGAATCAACAGCCAACTTGCCGATTTTTTAATTTATAAAAAAACCAGAGAAGATATTCACTAATTAATTAACCTGATCAAACTAAAATGAAATCTTGTTTATGAACGAAATCCTTGTTTATGAATACTGCTTTTGTCTTAGAAGCCAAGTCTCCTACCTAGAACTCTTTTTTCTCCTTCGGAAAATTGCCTTGGAAGTAAAGGCTGACCTTAACATTAGCTGTAATACAACCAGCTTGAATTTCCTCCCACCACTTTCATGTGTATCTTTGGCATACTATCTGGTATCCCAGCAGGGTTATCTCTCCCCCTTTATTGAAGAATTATCACACCAATCTAAAAACCATATATAAAAAAATCAAAAAGAAAATTTGTGATAGCAACACGAATGGAAAGAGTAAATACTAAATGACATAAGTACATTGGGTAAGACAGATCCATGAGCACAATCTCCAGATTTAAAATACACTCAAGCACAAGTAGGGGTGAAGTGAATTTTAAACTTTATTATTCTGCTAATGAATAAAAATGCTCAATTTAGCTATTTCTTGGTCATTTTACTGTCTCCCCTCTCTAACTCTAATTATGCTAAGCTTTTGTTAGCTATCTAATGGCTAACCATACTGTGATTAATAGATCTATTATAATTTCTCGTGGCACCTGGTAGTATTGTATCTTTTACATAGCCCAGTAGAACAATCAGTAGCCCATCAATTTTTTTTGACAGTTTAATGTTGGAAGTCTGGTGCTTAGTTGGTTGATAGGGTCAAAGGATACCCTAAATTTCTCAGGCAGCAGGTTTTTTAAAGTAGTCATTCTCAGTACAAGAATGTACAAAAGCTGTGGTCCGCAGGTGCCATCTTCACTGGAAGCCATGAAGGTCTTCTCAGTAGTGGTGAGTCACTGGTGACCAGTGAAGGAACTGTATATTCCAAACAATCTTCAAAGACAGCCCCATGTATGTACAATGCATTGCATAGTTAATCCTAGATATTACCATCGCATAAATAACTCTGTCCAGGCCATCTTAGGCGCTGACGGAAGGCACTCTTTACCACAGACAAAGCTGAACCCAGGAGTACACACAGACCAGGAACATAGTCCTTTAGGGGGAGTGCAGCCCATCCAGAACAGGTCTCTTGGCTCAGGTGAACCACCTAAACCTAGAACTTCTGTTTATTGGCCCTGCATCTGTCATGTGATTCTTTCTTTTGCTTTACTAATTCCAGGCACTGGATAGAAGAGGCACTGCCGCTTTCTGCTTTCACAGGAGGAAGTGCCTGTTCTGAAATGATGCTTGCTATGAAATGTGTATGCATCATTTAAAAATTGTGTGATTTCTTCAGAATTTCTTTATGACAATGAAAATATATGCAGATTTTATATCTACCTGCCTTAAGGGAACTGTTTCTCCCTGTGGCTTAAACAAGTTTGTCCTGTTGTGATGGATTTATTGTGGTTTTTTTCTTGTGTAAGCAGACCTGTTTGTCACATTTAACAGAAAGGCAGCATCTGCGTGTTCTGAATACTGAATTGATTTAATAGGTGTATGATCAACCAAGATGTCTTTAATTGGATGATAGCACTAATTAATATCAATGCAGAGTTTATCTCTCAACTCCAAAAAAATGAGGGCAAAGTCAAAAATGTAAGTGAAGAATTTGCCACTTATTTGCTATATGCTAATATAGGAGAAGGGAATTGGTTCTGGCCAGTGGGCTGGATCCAGAATTCCCCCACTCTTTGTGGGCTACTTTGACAGATGGGTAGGGCTGCCTACCTGTCAGTCACCTGGTGTCTTCAGGTGATTCAACTTAAAAGGAAGAATCAGAGGTGTGTTCTAAATGCCTTTCTGATACTTTCCTTTCTTCCTTTGTCTTGAATTGAAGCTGCAGAAGCAAAGGAAGAATCAGGAACACCATCTAAGTGTGCTCTGGATTCTTCCTTTCTGGTTGTAATTTGGTGTTTTTTGAATATGATGTCAGATGATGGACAGGTGAATGTGGGCCAAATTGAGAGGCCTGGCAGGTACACTTAGGGGGCTTAAGGTTCCCCACCGTTGTGATAATGCTCTACATTTAGTTTGCTTGTTATATTTGTATTCTGCCTTTGGTCCAAGTTGCCCAGAACAGTGTTCTCAACAACCTTGCAAGGATTGTTCTACCGAGAAATTGTCATTTGTCCCAGTTAGCTTTCTGCCAGCATCAGGTTTTGAATTAGAATTTCCCAAATACAACTTCAGCTTGTTTAAAAGTATGTAATGTAGAAAATCCTTAGAATTAAGGGGAAATGAACATCTTTAAAAACAAACATGTGGAACAGAGATTAAAATGACTTCGCCAATAAAGTAGTTTTTGTAACTTAAAATAGGAAGCTTTCCTGAGAGCTGCTTGCAATCTAGTTCTCTTAAGCATAATTGATTGCTCTAAAAGCTGGTCATTATTAGCATAATTGATACTTCTAATTCCACTTATAAACTCATAGTATTCCCAGTTTCCTTGCCTCAAAATATAGTTGAGCAGTGTGTAATGCAGACTTGTAGATTATGAAGGAAGTTGTATGGAAACAGAATTTCAAGTAGGTTTCCTATGACCAGGATTCAAGGAACTGCCTATCTCCAGTCAAGGGAGCTGTACCTAGCTCATAGAATGTACGACTCTTTTCTTTGGGCCACAGAAAGCCATGTCTTATTACAAACTCTATATGGTTTTGAAAGGTTTGCCATGCAGTATGCTGAGAATTGTCTGGCGGGGGGGCAACAGTTCTAAAAACCCCGTTCAACTTTTGGAATTACCGGTAGTTGTAGTTCTTTGGATCCTGGCCTATGTCTGTTAGTTTTTAATAACCTACTAAAAATGTTTGCGTTCTTAACTTTAAACCCACTAATTTATTCAGTAAACAAATCTATTTTCACACTTAACACATACTCTGTTTTAATTTTTTTTTAAACAGACACCAAATCCCGCGGCAAGCGAGTTTATTCCTAAAGGAGGATCAACCTCCCGACTCAGTAATATGTCACAGTCAAATATATCTGCCTTCTCTCAAGCCTTGTTCTCTCATCCTTCCATGGGAGGTCCTGCAAACGCTGGGCTAGCTCCAGGTAAGCTTAGAGTAATTTATTTACACTAGCTTATGAATCACAGTAGCACTAGGGAAGCTTATTCCATCTAGGAACCGACTCTTCCTAAGCTCTATTTATTTAAAGTCTTACATAGCAGCCGTATCATCTTCAGGTGTTTGTTATCAGTTTTGTACCTACACTTTGCACATTGCAGCACCTTAAGTGTAATTCTTGCAGCCGTCAAGGTTTCCTGCAGCATCTTAGCATTACCAAGTTTTAGAAAGAGCTTGTAAGCTTTGTTTGCAACCGTCATTTAAGGGGTCTCTCTTAACTAAATTCATTTTCAGAATATTTAGAACTATCATTAACATTTTATCTGAAAAACGGAAGTACAAGATTATCTTGGAGGTATGAAAACAACAACCTACCAGGCAAAGGACAACTCCCCACCTCACCTCCAAAGCCTATGAATAGTTCCCAGCAAAGATAATATGTGAACATGTTTAAAGCCTATAAACCAGAAAGACTAGATCAGGGGTAGTCAACGTTTTTATACCAACCGCCCACTAATGCATCTTCCTTGATGGTAGAATTTCCTTACTGCCCACCAGTGCTCGATGGAAGGAGGATTCAACTTGTGCCGTAGAACCCCCTACTGCCCACCTAGAATCCTGAAACACCCACTAGTGAGCAGTAGGGACCAGATTGACAACCCCTGGACTAGATTATATGCATTCAGGGCTGTTGGAAGGAAGGAAGGAACTTCTAAGTAAAAACGATGGAGAAGAGCAGTGAACCGAGTGTGCGGGAAGCAGGATGCCGCCCTCTATAAAAGATTGACAAATGAAACATTGCACATTGTTAAAGCAATAATGTGAAGAGAATAGTAAGTGAGCAAGAAGAATCTAAGGTTATAGGACCACCTGTTAACATGGAATAACCTGGCTTTGGGGACAGAGTTGCTTTCAAAGTAGTACTAGGTACAGTGGTGCCCCGCAAGACGAAATTAATTCGTTCCGCAATTTTTGTCGTCTAGCGAATTTTTCGTCTTGCGAAGCACGGTTTCCCATAGGAATGCATTGAAAATCAATTAATGCGTTCCTAGGGAAACCGCTTGCCAGGCTGGCGGTGCGGAGAAGGGCTTTTCTCCGCACCGCAAGCCTTCAGGACAGGTACGGGAACAGAGGGGAAGGCACGCAGCGCTTCTCCTCTGTTCCCGGGGCTTGCGTGGGAGGAGGGTTTTTCCTCCCCACCGCCAACATTCAGAACAGCATTCTGAATGTTGGCGGTGGGAAGGAAAACCCTTCTCCCACCCCATGTCTTCAGGACAGCCATCCGAAGGCTGGCGCGGGGAGAAGGTCTCTCCGCCCCCCCCCACGCCAGGCTTCGGTGCATCCTTCAGAGGCTGCTGCCATAGTCACGCGTCACTTCTCCAGCTGGGAGAGGGTCGCGGGGCTATGGTTTCTTTAGCCCCGCGCGCGCTCTCCCGGCTGGAGAGGTGACGGGCGCCTATGGAGGTTCCTGCCATATGCGCGCGTCACAACTCCAGCTGGGAGAGGGTCGCGGGGGGCTGGTTTAGCCCCGCGCGCGCTCTCCTGGCTGGAGAGGTGACGGGCGCCTATGGAGGCTCCTGCCATAGGCGCGCGTCACTTCTCCAGCTGGGAGAGGGTCGCGGGGGGCTGGTTTAGCCCCGCGCGCGCTCTCCCGGCTGGAGAGGTGACGGGCGCCTATGGAGGCTCCTGCCATAGGCGCGCGTCACTTCTCCAGCTGGGAGAGGGTCGCGGGGGGCTGGTTTAGCCCCACGCGCGCTCTCCTGGCTGGAGAGGTGACGGGCGCCTATGGAGGTTCCTATGGAGCTGTTCCTGGAACAGCTTTCCGAAGTGGGGCGGCTGGGGCAGATGTCCCCGCCCCCCCTCCCCGCTTCGGAACAGCTTTCCGAAGTGGGGCGGCTGGGGCAGGTGACCCCGCCCCCCCGCCCCACTTCGGAACAGCTGCAAAAGACGTCAGGGGGAAGCGGGGAAGCGAAGCGCTTCGCTTCCCCGCTTCCCCCGACGTCTTTTGCAGCAAGGGGCTGCAGGGAGATCGCTATCTCCCCCCAGCCCCTTGCTTCAGAAGAGGTCCGGGGGAAGCGGGAAGCGAAGCGCTTCGCTTCCCCGCTTCCCCCGATGTCTTTTGCAGCAAGGGGCTGCAGGGAGATCGCTATCTCCCCCCAGCCCCTTGCTTCAGAAGAGGTCCGGGGGAAGCGGGGAAGCGAAGCGCTTCGCTTCCCCGCTTCCCCCGACGTCTTTTGCAGCAAGGGGCTGCAGGGAGATCGCTATCTCCCCCCAGCCCCTTGCTTCAGAAGAGGTCCGGGGGAAGCGGGGAAGCGAAGCGCTTCGCTTCCCCGCTTCCCCCGACGTCTTTTGCAGCAAGGGGCTGCAGGGAGATCGCTATCTCCCCCCAGCCCCTTGCTTCAGAAGAGGTCCGGGGGAAGCGGGGAAGCGAAGCGCTTCGCTTCCCCGCTTCCCCCGACGTCTTTTGCAGCAAGGGGCTGCAGGGAGATCGCTATCTCCCCCCAGCTCCTTGCTTCAGAAGAGGTCCGGGGGAAGCGGGGAAGCGAAGCGCTTCGCTTCCCGCTTCCCCCGGACGTCTTTTGCAGCAAGGGGCTGCAGGGAGATCGCTATCTCCCCGCAGCCCCTTGCTTCAAAAGAGAAGACCCACTGTCCCCGGGGCAAGCTTCGTTTTGCGAAGCAAGCCCATAGGGGAATTCGTCTTGCGAGGCAAATCGCGGACGAAAAAACCTTTCGTCTAGCGAGTTTTTTGTCTTGCGAGGCGTTCGTCTTGCGGGGCACTACTGTACATTATTTTTCTAATTGTCAGTTTCGTCTGCTATATCTTGTTGGATCATATCGTTGGGCAGGAGTCGCTTAACAAGCCCTGTAAGTGGAAGACCTCCACAATCACTTGCGCTTGCACAACAGGACTTTCCCAACTCGTTCCTTGCTCCCCCTCCCCCCCACAAAATGGCGCGTGGGGGGGGAACGGTTGGAAAAACTCTGAGGGGAGGGGAGTTTGTTTCCATCGGACAAGCTGAGATGCTTGCACAGATGTTAATGCTGGCCATATCTCAACTTTGAATTCCACCCTTTGTTGTCTTGTGAATCACCCTGAGATCTTTTGACGAAGGGCGGTATGTAAATCTAATAAATAAAATAATTTGTTTCCATATTGTCGTGGCTATAGGTCACATACATGATTGCAGAAACTTTAGCTGCCTCAGAGTTTTCAGTACCCAGGTTTGGGGAAGTGGGTGGAGGTGGCTAAACAGGTTTATATTTGCAAAGTGCAGTATGCAAACAAGTTCTCTAGATAGCATAGCTCATAACTCCATGTAGCATGGAAATAGCATCTCTGTTTTTCATGCTGCAAAGCAGCTGCCTTATTCTCTAGTGCAGACAAAAACTAGTTTCACTTTCAAGTTTGGGGCAACCAGTGATGTTTATTTTAAAGAGAGGTCTATTGTCAGACCAATCTTAGGGAAGCAACCTTAGCCTGTCTTGCATGATGGGAAATAATTGAGGGTTGAGGAGGAAAATTAAGCCTCATAGTTTTATCGTAAGTCGTTACCTTGAAAATATGAATCTGCCTTAAATGAAGTCCATTTATCTGCCTAGTCCAGTGTTGTCAACTCTGGCAGTTTCTCTCCAGGATGATGCCTAGGACTTTTCCAAAGCCTTTCTGCCCAGAAATGTCATGGGTCTTAAACCTGGATCTTGTTCATACCAAGGTTTTTCTTTAGCAGTGAGCTATGGCTTTTCCTGTGTGCCCCCTCCTTTCTGGGGCAGCCCCTCATGCCTCATACTGCATTAAGGAGGGGGCTGAGAAGCTTCTATGAATAGCACACATGGTGCTTTGAATCCTGATCTTTATGATAAAACCACAACTACAGTTTGTTTTTATTTAAGTTTGGAAAAAACACTTAACATCCATAATCATAGTCACAGGAAACATTGTAGTTTTATAGTATGTATGTATGTATGTATGTATATAAATAAATAAACAATAGGTTGCACATCATATTTTGTTTCAGTGCTGAGTAAGTAGTACCTAGTTAATAAATTTGTCTTGACACTGCGTATAGTTTGGTTAGTTTGTGTAATTGTTGCAACCTGGTGGTGGTTGTTTTTTTTTAAATCTTCTGTGTAGGTGTCTATAAAAATCGTTGCAAATTATATGGCACAGACCTCAGTATTTTCCTTTCAGATGATTCTAGTTTGGTTTAAATAAGGCGTGGGGAATGTTTTTAGCTCCATGGGCCAGATTCTTATAAGGATCTGCCTTGCAGGGCAAATTTGACAGGTGTCAGTCAACTGATACCAGGGAGTTTGGTGCTTTGAAGTCTCAGGATTTCAAAGCAGGCAACAAGGCTGTGAAAGTGAAGGCTTCGTCCTTCCTTTTGCAGGAAAAACCTTTCCTTTAGCAGCGCCTTGCTGTCTGCTACATGCACAGTCAAAATGAGTAGGTTAGGGTGTATGATAGTTGCCTGCAGGTAAACCTCATGCACCCAGACCAATACATCAATACATCAGCCAATTTACCATTGGGTGGAGGGGATCATGCTTAGCAAAGGGGTGGTGGTGCATAAGTGAGCTCCCTGCAGGTTGGTCTCTTTCATTCCTGGACCAAGCAGAATTGCCCTCCTTTCACATCAGGGTGGTTTAAGCAAGGGGGCAGGTGGTTGCAGTGGAGAAGTAGAGCAGACTCTTCTCCCTTACCCTTCTGCCACTGGTTCTTCTTAAAGACAAAGTGCAAGTTATAGTGCTTTTACAAAGGGCTTTTATCACTGCTCATTAGTGATGAGCAGGGATTAAATCCTGCTGCTTTGGCTGCATGATTCTGTTCCTTGCTTGGGAATAGGCCATACAGCTAATGTAGGAAGAATAAACCATGTCCTCCCATCCATCAGCTGTCCAGTGGGTTTGGAGTAATTGGCCTGACAAGGCAATCTTGGCCCACCAATCTGAAGTTCCCCATCCTTGGTTTAAAGAGAACTGTGGCAGTACCTGACGCTTTTTGTCTGCCATAGCAAAGTGGCACAGATGGAGCCAATGGAGTTGTATTTGAATAGCTTGAAAATGTTGCAAATATTTGCTGTTGCTTTTCTCACCCTTTGGGCAAAAGTTGGTATCTTTGTGGCTAACCATTTCATTTGAATCTTACATGTAAACTGGGATGTTTTAAAACGCCTTGTCCAGCTGTCCCAAGTCTGCTTTTATCTGCAAGGAAATATACCCCCCCCAAGCCTTGGAGTCTGTTATGGCTGCAAATGCCTTTTCACTGCAAGTCTTCTTTTTTCCTTTTATTTTCATAAGGAATGTCATTGTCAGCAGGATCTTCTCCCCTTCATTCCCCTAAAATTACTCCTCACACGTCTCCTGCTCCTAGACGAAGAAGTCATACACCAAACCCAGCAAATTACATGGTGCCTACTAGTGCCTCTACGCCAGTTACTAATGCTGTCTCCCAGCCGCCAGCTGCTGGCCAGGTGATTCAGAAGGAAACTGTGGGTGGCACAACCTATTTCTATACTGACACAACTCCAGCACCTGTAACTGGAATGGTGAGAATTCCGTTTTATTTATGAAGGTATTTGTTATAATCCATAAATTAATGCTGGTATTCCATATAGTAATTACCACATTTCCAAGCTTGATTTGCATCTTGGCTGTTACTGACTGCCACTGTGGCTTCCTTTTCTGTCTTGCAAAGCTTTCCTATTTGCACACAGTTGGAGAAATAATTTATATACTGCCCTTTATCTCAGAATATTATATTATTTATTAACAAATAAATAATAAAACCACAGGGCAGTTTGCAGTATAAACACACAGAAACACATAACATACCAACAAACTAAACAACCTGCACCCAATAGTTCATGAGGCCATAGACCATTTAATTAGCCAAAGGCCTGTCAAGCAAAGGAATATTTTGGCCTGGCACCTAAATATTTGTAATGAAGGTATTGGATTAGCCCCCCTGGAGAGAGCATGCCACAAAGAAGGGCTCGGATGATGATCTCATGGTCCAGGGCGGTTCATATGGGGAGAGGTGGTCAGAATAAACCATGGTTTATCATGATGGGAATGAACCTAGATGAGCCTTGGACTTAAGTCCTTTCCTTTCCTCCACAAGTATGGCTGCAAGTAAGAGTGGAAGCTTCCTATTTCAATTAACGTTCATTTAGCATTCTATCCAAATCCTAAACTTGTCAATAATTATGGTTTGAAATTGGCTTTTTTCATACAAAGCTTAGTTTGAATGATATGAAAAACTCCAGAAACAGAAATGAAAGCTTCCAAACTCTTTCATCTGTGTAGTGGAGGAGTACATGAGCCTGAGGCTTGTTGAGTCTCCTTCCTTTCATGATAAACTGATTAAAGAGCAGCATGGGAGAGCCATAGGTCTGCTGTTGATCACATGCTTTTGCATACGCAATGTTCTAGGTTCTGTTCCTTACATCTTCATTTAAACTCTTTCTGGTAGCCAGGGAAAGATCTCTGGCTGAGAAGGAGGGCCTGCCAGAGTAGGCACTACTAGACCAGAAAGACCAATGATCAGATTCTGAAGAAGGCAGTTCCATGCTCTCAGAAGAATTACACAGGCAGCTGATGTATGAGTACGCCCTTTATTCATGGGATGATTGGCATAGAAATCTAGGAGCCTAGACTAGGTGGCATCAGAGATTCCCTCTATGTGAGATTGTATGTGCAGCTTTGTTGGCTTTTTATTTTAAGGCCATTGCCGCCTAAGAAAACTAGACATGCTCTCTGACATGGCAGAATCTGTTGTATCTTGAGCCCTTAGGGCAGGTAACAGCAGCGTTTGGCAAACCTTGTGCATGACTTGGGTAGTTTGCCACCATGATGCTTTCATTGGAATGTTATATACTTTCTTAAGTATAAGATAAATACAACCTATTCTGCCACCCACTCTGTTAGTCTTTATGGTCTGTCTGTCTATCTATCTATCTATGTTACCCCACTGTTCAGCTCTGAGAATCTAGGCTAGTGACACTTAAAAGAATTAATGAACAATAACAGCATCAGCTTAAAAAAATAATTCAAAAAATACAACACAAAAAGTTGAGTAAGTATCAGTTTAAACTAAAATTCAGTGAAGGATTAAAGCCTGGGCTTGGTACCAATAAGTTTCAGCACCATACCTCCTCCATGAATGGGGTGGTGCTACCTCTGAAAAGACTCCCAAGCTGCCACCTGCCTTATCTCCCTAAGCCAGGGGAACTGTGAGAAAGGCTTTTGAGGGTGGTTATAGGATATGTTCAGGCTTGGGGTGTGCATTTTATGTAGCCCTTATTACCTAACCAGATTCATATTCCTTCTGCTGACCCTATACTAATATTTTTCACACTTTCCATGCAAACTTATTTTTCTCCCAGAATTTCAAGTTTGGATTTTGAAAGTAATTAATTCAAATGCTGATGACTTTGCAGCTGCAATCATAAGTATGCACCCATAAGTATGCTCATCCTTTTTTGATATGGCTTCTGTGGAACCACTTCAGAGGGCTTTTAAAAGATCTCATAACTTTTCAAATCCTAAAAACTGTCTGTTCCAAATTTTATCTTCAATAGGTGTTCCCAAATTACCACATTTATCCTCCAACTGCGCCTCATGTTGCTTACATGCAGCCAAAAGCAAATGCACCTTCTTTCTTCATGGCAGATGAACTCAGACAGGTAAGTTCTTTCTAGTAATATTCTAACAGATTTCCTCCCACCACAAAATTTCTCTGCCACCTTCCGCTTGCCCAAAGTTATCTGCAATGCTGTATCATAAAAAAAGAACTTTGTTTCTGGGGAAATTAATGATATTTAAGTAAGCAGGTAAAATAGGTATATAAAAACAGAATTGATGGTGTTTGGGATATGTGTCCTCTTTGGCTGCAATCTTATGCACACTTGCTTGGGAGTAAAAATACCTTTTACATCTTACCTTTGCCAACCACACCATGGCAGAAGTCTGTGCGAAAGCTATTTTTGTTAGCCACAGGCCTAACTTCTTAAATATTTCCTACACACACAGTATTGGCAGAACAGATGGTGAATCAGTTTGAAACAGGGTTGGGTTACTGTTTCCTCTCAGATATTGTTGGAATATAACCCCTATCATCCCAGTCTGTTGGTCATGCTGGCTGGGGCTGATGGTATCTTTGCTACAAGGTGACTTTTTCAAAGCCATCCATGCCATGGAAAATGCCTTATTAAAGAAACTTAACCCACTGCCTCTTCACCTTTTCTATATCTGCTTTTTGGAGTGGGCTGCCAAGTATGTCTGTTCTTGCTGTGATAGTTTGAAACCTTAGGGCTCTTCCTGCAGCATTGCAATTTGTCTTCCCTACCTCACTGCAAATGTAAAGCACTTTCTGTCATATCAGACTCCATCTGGCGAAACTGAGTTAGAACTCAAAATCATCTCAGTAAATTGGAAACATTTTCAGCAAAAAGTAGAAACTTAATAAGGACAAATGCAAGTCTCTTCTTTACTAGAAACAGATTGCTGCCAAAGAAATGTGGGTCAGTCAAGTAACAATACGGAAAAGGGCCTTAACCTTAGTTTAAAACAAAGTTTGCCTAAGCATCACTACACGGCCTTGCAAAATAATCACGAGGGACATAAAAGGCGACTTCTGTACTCTGTGCTGTATTCTGATTTGTTGAGGCCTTTGGATTACCATGTTCAGTACATAGTTTACTAGCCTGCTTTTTACTCATTAGAAGTCTGATGGAGGACAGGTCAGCCTGGGCTCCTTTGGGAGGAAGGTCAGAACAGAAATTTCATAAACAGAGTTCTGTCCTTCCCCCAGCAGCACACTCACTTTCCTGGATGCAATTCTTCATCGTTTAGCATGAATTCAAAGCCACTCCTGATTGAAGTGTGATAGAAGATAGGAGTTGTTAATGTCTGCCATTGAGCAGAGAAGATTGAGAGTAGCTTCATTAGTGTTCAGATGAAATGGTGGTTGCCCTGAGAAGGATAGAGACTGGCAATGTATATATGGGGGACAAGAAATAAAACTTGAACTGCAGTCTTGGCTAGGCTTTAGAAATACCATTCTACAATGAAAGAATAGCAGAACCTTGGTTCAGATTCCCCAGGATGCAGAGGTCTGTGGTGGAGTTACCTGAAGATCAGGTTTGTCAAACAATTTGATGGGGCTGGTTCAGGCGGGTTCAGTAGATGAACTGACTGAGTGACTATAGGGTCTCTTAAAGGTTGCTTCCAGCCATGTCCTTAGACAAGGATAGCTTTAGTTAGGGATTCTGCTTCTATAAGGGGGTTCTGATAGTCCAAGTCCTTTTTCAGGTCTGTTTCTATGGTTTTGTGATTAACCGAAGCAGCATATAAGAAACAGCAAACTAGAATTTCATGTCCTTATTGGTAAGACTGCCAAAATGTATTCCTATAGGAGCTGATCAACAGACACTTAATTACAATGGCTCAGATAGATCAAGCAGATATGCCTGGTAAGTAACTAAAGATCCTGAATTTAAATTGCATTTTTAAGCCGGTCTTTTGCTTGCTGTGTTTGCTACCGCAGTTAGTTATATGAATAATCAATTTGCATATTAAAGCAAAGCCATTCTGAATGCAGAATTGACTATAATCCAGTGGAATCTCTGTATTAGGTTCTTTCAAGCTCCTTTTCAATGTATTTATTAGTAGTGCACAATCCAAACTTTCTTTCTTTCTTTAAATAATTCGTATAATGCAACCCTCAGGAAATGTTTGTTACGTGGATGACACAGTCTGTGAAAATAAGTACTGTACAAAATCTCTCGTGCTTCAGTGGATCTCTTCTGTCTTTTGTTTATTTGTTTTTCTTCTTCAAAAACAAAATGCATCATATTTGAAATTCAAAGTGATATATAACAAAAAGTTTTGCAAAATGGCATAATAATAACGTATGACTAGGTCTGCTGCTCCTGTCTGAATAAAAACGTCTTCAGTTCTTAATGAGTGCCAGTTACTGCACTTGATTTAGATGTGAACTGCTATACTGAATCTCATCAGGGTGCTTCCAAGACAAATTTAACAATGTCTCTGTGCATAAGGCTCTGTCAGGTCTCAGTGCATCAAAGTGTACAATGTGTTCAACAAGGCAGGAATAAAAGCTTGCCTTAAACTGGTAATGTAAAATTAAAACTCCCAGAAGTATCTTCTAGTAGAGTTTACCCTTAGGGTTTACACACTCAGGTTTTAGATTTTTGGTTCTTGTCCTACTCTTCTCCCATTATGACCAACTGGCACCAAGCATACTCTTTCCTACCCCATCTATAAAATAAGCGAATCAGGATCTTAGTGCATATACTGAACGCGCTTTCCTTCAGTATTGGAGATTTCTGAATTTTCCAAAGCAAACCTGCGTGTTGTGGTAAAAGTTGTATAGGATTTGCATCAAAGTTTGTTGTCAGAGCTTTGTTACAGTCTTCTAAACCTGTGTGTGTGTGTGTGTGTGTGTGTGTATTGTCATTGAATTGCTTTGTCTATAATAACTCTTTTCTTCATAATTTTAAGTAGTGTCTAATGTATTTCCGTAAACTGGTTTAGCTGTCCCAACAGAAGTTGACAGCTACCACAGCCTTTTCCCTCTGGAGCCACTGCCACCACCCAATCGGATACAGAAAACAAGCAACTTTGGGTATATAACATCATGCTACAAAGCTGTAAATAGCAAAGATGATCTGCCATATTGCCTTCGGAGGATACATGGTGAGGGAAATTACAAGTTCTCATATTTTAAAAATTCAGTTCTACCAGTACTTAAGCCTTAAAACATTTGTGTTTCTTTGTCAATAAACCTCAAACTGGATTTAAAATCAAATTCTTCCTTTTAAATAACGGAATGGAATTGGGTATGGCTAATAATCCATAAAGCAGGCTATGATCAGATGTGTGTTTTTTGGGTTGTGTCTTTTGCTAGCACTCTAGTACTTTAGAATAAATGTGAAAGCGACATTAAAATAGCCAAAAATCTTTGAAATGTGAAAGATTTTCTTTCTCAGGTTTTCGTCTTGTTAACACAAAGTGCATGGTGCTGGTTGACATGTGGAAAAAAATCCAACACTCAAACATTGTCACATTGCGAGAAGTATTCACCACTAAAGCATTTGGAGAACATTGTAAGTTTCTTATCTTTAAGATGTTAGCCAATCGTATTGGAAGACTTGCATCGATTGCATAGCTAATTCTCACCTCGGACTTTTTTTGAAAAGCTCTTGTGTTTGCCTATGACTTCCACGCTGGAGGAGAGACTATGATGAGCAGACACTTCAATGATCCTAGTGCTGATGCCTATTTCACAAAAAGGAAGTGGGGTAAGGCCAGCAAATGAGATCTATGTTTTTGTTTTTCCAGTGGACAAAAATTAGGGAACTACAGTTGAAGTATTGTAACTTTGCATTGTACGTAGCTTTGCTGCAATTTAGGCTTCTTGAAGTGTTCAGAACATAATGTATACATGGCGATTGTGCTGGTTATTGCAAACTGGTTTTGATGCTGCTTTCACTGTAATACTCTATTACTATAGGTAATATAGTTTGGTGGATGAGGCTGGAGGACATTACTCTCTTAGGGTAAGGCACACACACACCCTCTAGTGATGACAAGCAGGGTTCTAGAAAGTCTTTTGCCTCCAAATGGAAGTCACCTCTTTTCCTTTACAGCAAAAAAACTAAAGGAAAGGGGAGAGAAAACAAAGAACCCAAAGGGGAAAGCCTGCACTAACAAAAAGGCAGGGGGAGTGGGGTATCTTGCACTAAAACCCCCACATTGCTAGGGGGCAAGAGGAACAAAGGGGAATGAGAGGCAGTTCAGACATGCTAAAAGAAGATTCTCAGATTTAAGGCAAAAAGAAGGCCAGCAAACAAGCCAGGAAGAAGAAGAAGAAGAAGAAGAAGAAGGAGAAGAAGGAGAAGAAGGAGAAGAAGAAGAAGAAGAAGAAGAAGAAGAAGAAGAAGAGGAGGAGGAGGAGGAGGAGGAGGAGGAGGAGGAGGAGGAGGAGGAGGAACTTGGACTTGATACCCCACTTTATCACTATCCTAAGGAGTCTCAAAGCGGATAACATTCTCCTTTCCCTTCCTCCCCGACAACAAACACTCTGTGAGGTGAGTAGGGCTGAGAGACTTCAGAGAAGTGTGACTGGCCCAAGGTCACCCAGCAGCTGCATGTGGAGGAGCAGAGACACGAACCCGGTTCACCAGATTACGAGTCCACTGCTCTTAACCACTACACCACACTGGCAAGCCTCTGAGGAGAGCAAGCCAGACCCAGTCATTCCCAACCACAGACTGGGTTGGCCTGATGAGTGGGGTGACCCTCCCACCAGATAGGAGGCAGAAGACTTTCTAGGACCCCACCTGTCATCACCAGAGGGAGCTGTCATTCCCTATCAGAGGAACGTCCTCCATCCCAATCCACAAACTGGAATTCACAGTAAGAATTCCCATGAAGACTAAGGTATTCAATGCATTCGTTTTTTCACCCTGAGGACTTTTGACCGTACAGTGAAAGTTCTCTTCCCTCTTCTTTCTCCATTCACCCCATAAATCTGAGTTTCTCCCAACCCTTTGGAGCTTGGTGGGTTGAGTTCAGTTGCTTGCAGTGTGGCTTGGTGTGTGTGGTTTTTTTTTGGGGGGGGGGTCCTAGGTTGTTGGGTCAGGTTAGCCATTTGTAATGGTGGTGTGGTTTTTTAAAAAGAGGCATTTGTTTTTACAAAGGGCAAAACATACGGAACGTAACTGTGTGTGTGTAGAAACAGGGTTTTGTTGTAATTTTCTCATTTCCCTTAATTTGCATTTGGCAGCACAAGGCTTCATATTAAGATAGGGTCTCTTAGTACATTGTGCTTTAAACAGCTTCATCACTTGTTAGTAAAACTGGTATTTGACAGTTAAAGGAAGAGAATTGTGGTTACATGGTGGTTTTTCCACATTGTATTCTGCTGTCACCATGTGGTTAGTCTTTTTTTGCCTTGTCATTTGTTAACACCATCCAGAATTTTATTGTCTAGGATGTGGTATAATAAAGTTTTCTGACAGATGAATGAAGGCATAACAGGTTCGGTTTATTTCTGCACTGAACACCTGTGAACCAGGAGCTAGTGGTGCCCCGGTTAACATCCCTTGAATGTGGCAGCTCCTGTTGGTTTGAGCAGGAAGTTGCTTATCTTCAAACCGGAACGAAAACCCAAACCGCTAGAATGGAGGCAGGGGGGAGATGCAGAATTGAAAGCAAACATTCAATGTGATCAGGCTTACTGAAAGAAACAAAATCCATTTTTTAACTCTAGATGTATTATTGATTTCACACAACAGACTAAACCAGTTTTCCACAAATCCACAGCAGATTGAAGGCAGCAGTGTGTGTTTCCTAAATTGCTGTGTTTTGTAGTTACTAAAAGTATTTCCTCATTCAGTATTGCTTGTGTAAAGATCTTCACTTTTGTCAGGCTAAAAGTAGAAAGCTTATTCCGGAAATGCTGTATTTCTGAATGCACTTGAGATGCATTTGTATGCACATCTGTGTGACCCATCAAGGTCGGTTAGATTATAATTGTTTGAAGACCCTCACGCAAGTATGGCAAACTAAAGGGGGGGGGAATACTCCCTGTAGTTAAAAATGCACTTCAAGGGGGTTGTTGCAGGAGAAAGGTCATGGCAAATAGTATGTTTGCACTGCAAAGTAGCTAAACTGCTCTGGTACCAAACACCAAAGCTGCTCTTCAAACCTGGGGTACTAAAGAGCTATTTGTGGGAAGTCATCCTTGAGTGGAATTCCTCTTGAGGGCAATGTTCATGATACATGCCTTTGAATCACAACTCAGATCTACATTGTATTTGGGCTTCATTATTCACAGTTCTAGGGACGTGGGTGGCGCTGTGGGTCAAACCACAGAGCCTAGGACTTGCCGACCAGAAGGTTGGCGGTTTGAATCCCCACGATGGGGTGAGCTCCCGTTGTTCGGTCCCTGCTCCTGCCAACCTACCAGTTCGAAAGCACGTCAAAGTGCAAGTAGATAAATAGGTACCGCTCCAGCAGGAAAGTAAACGGCGTTTCCATGTGCTGCTCTGGTTCGCCAGAAGTGGCTTAGTCATGCTGGCCACATGACCCGGAAGCTGTCTGCGGACAAACGCCGGCTCCCTCGGCCAATAAAGCGAGATGAGCGCCGCAACCCCAGAGTCGGTCACGACTGGACCTAATGGTCAGGGGTCCCTTTACCTTATTCACAGTTCTGGCATTAACAAACACACCCAAACACCATTCCTTTTCTTCAGAACTCAGGTCGTATTAACCTGCTTGGCTGTCTTTGAAAAACATGGGGAGTTTTTGAAAGATAATAGCTGTAGTATATTGCCAGAAGTACATATTTCCTCAGCAAAGTGCTTGATTCATTGAAAGGCTCTTAAAGGGTTACTGTCAAACAACAGTCCTGAAACAAAACCCTAGGACGAAAAACGTGAAGCGTTCCAAATCTAATGAGTCATAGTATTTGTTGCTTGTGTATTTGAGCATATGTTTTAAACATGCGATGGGATTTGGGTTCATTAACTTGGATACCTTTTTTGTTTTTATATGGAAATACAGAAACAACATTGCTTCTGATGTAGTATGAATAAGGGCTTTGGCAGTGTATGTTTGCTTCTTTTGCTGCTTGCTTGGTACATTTGAAGAGCCCTGCTCACTGTCAGGCCAGTAGCCCATCTAATCCAGTCTGACATAATATATAACTAGAAATGCTTGTGATAAGGTCACACGCAGGGCAGGGTTCCAGTATTGCTGCCCCTTTGCTGCCATCCAGCAACTGGTGCTCAGTGGCACACTGCCTCAAACATTAATATTCTGCTAAGCCATCTTTGCTAATAGCAATTTATGGGCAAACAAATGTATAATCCCCCTTTAAAGCTGCTTAAGCCGGTGGACGGTGCCACATCTTGTGGCAGCCAGTACCAAAAATTAATTATGATACACTAAGGGATTGTAGCTGCACAATAAAATTCCAGCTTTATACATTGTGTCTTACTTTTAGTACAATTAAAAGTAAAACAAAACAGCAGCTGTAATTGGGTTGGGTGTTCTTACAATTGCCAGTTGCTTTGAAATAAAGCAGACAATGATTTTAATCAACTGGCATTTTGAAAGAACTTTTGTATTCATTATCCAAACACTTACACAGCTGACAGTTGTAGATTTCATTCATTTTCTCCCATTTTTCTGATAGGTCAGCATGATGGACCTTTGCCTCGGCAACATGCGGGGTTGTTGCCAGAATCCCTGATTTGGGCCTACATTGTGCAGCTCAGCTCTGCATTGCGGACCATTCATACAGCAGGATTGGCCTGTCGGGTGATGGACCCCACCAAGATTCTGGTAACTGGAAAAACAAGGTAACATGAAACATGTTTTACCATTGCATTGTTGGTAATCCAAGGTGGTGAGGCCAGCTAAATTTCAGGAACATAGATGCAGAGCTTCTCCCCAAGGGCAAGCTTGTTTTGGAGCAAAAAAATAGAAATGGCGCTAGTCTCCTAGTTTGTGAAAACTGTAGTCATGAAACCTGCCAAAGTTCAATTGAACAAAGCCAGAGGCTATCGTGCTAGGTGATTTTACATTCATTTTAAAATACTGGATAAGTCTTGTCTGGTTGTAGCTGGTTTTTTCTCGCTGTCCTTGCCCCTTCCTGAAAGTATGTTCTGTGAAATAAAATAAAAAAAGGAGAGAGCTATGATTTTTGTTTGTTAGGAAAAAAATGATTTGGAAAGAAGGCCACCCAGATAGTCCAACTCTGCCACTTGCACGTTTATTCTCACAGTCAAAACATCCCTCCCCCTTATCACTCTGATTGGAGGGTCCCCAGAAAATAAATCACTGTGATTCAAAGTTACACCTGTTCATCAGAACGAAAGATCCCCCACAGACACACTCAGAAATTTAGGGAGTCTCTTATCCGACTCAAGACACCTTGAGAACCTTTCCTGCATCATCCCAATTTTCCACATAGTTTGGGTGTGCACAGAGTCAGTGCACCCTCCTTCTACCCTCGCAGATTGATAAACCGTTGGCATTAATACCAGTTTGTTAGCAAAACTTTGCTGATGTAACTAAAGAAGTCGCAGAGCAAGTCTAACAAGCAGACTAAGGAGTTTTATAATTCTCTTCCTTATATAACCCTTCTCCCATCAAGGTTGCGAGTGAACTGCGTTGGAGTCTTTGATGTGTTAACATTTGATAACAGCCAAAACAATCCCCTGGCCCTCATGGCCCAGTATCAGGTAAGATCACAATATTGTCCCCTTTACTTCATGTTATTTGGTTAGTGAATATTCATCAATGATTGCATTATTTTTATATTGCTTTTTCCCTTCCTTAAGAACATTTGGTGTTGACATGCTTTTCTTTACTCTGTACATTTGCTTTCTTTGAGAAGTGCAACTGGATGAACTTTATTAAAGCAGCCTCCTCTACTGGTAGCATCAAAACATAAAAGATTTGCCTTTGCATATAGGCAAGGACTGCCGTTCATTAGTTGCCATTACAATTTATGCAGCACTAGCAGTGCTTTGCAAAGTTTTGGAAGCAAAATGCAGGCAAGTCCCTGCCTCTGTAACGAACTTACAATTTAAGATAGAGAGTGCATGGAAAACAGATTAGAGCAAAGGATAGTGAGGGATACATTTGAATCAGTGATATCAAACTTGGGTACATTGTGCACAAATTAAAAGAAATGTCTCATCCTTTCTAAAACCCTCTTCAACAACAACCAATAATGGGAGATGGGAGGAAGTCTAGCTGATTCTCAGAACTAAAGAAACACCTTAGCTTTGTCAACAACAATCATACTAACTTCTTCCTGATGGAATGGAGAGCATGCAAGTTTGCCATAAAACCAAGTTGTTTTTTCTTCTTTATTCTTAACTTTCCACTAAATGAAAAACACCTCAGTCCAGCCGGTAAAGCACAATATATATTGTTAAGTTTACAACTGTTTTACGTGTTCACCTCTTTGTTTGGAAAGGATTCTCTTCACCTGTTGGCAGAAAAGTGAGAGGGCTGTGTAGGTAGGCATACGTACTTTTGACATCAACTTTAGGAAAATAGGGCCAATTGTTCCTGTGAAGTACTGCATTCAAAAAGCCAATTAATTGTTTTAAGACTTGAAACTTGAAGTGCCGCTATGTGCTTTTGCAGTGCATATATTTGTAAATTTAATTTTAAAAAAATCTGAAAAGAATATGTAGCTTTCCAAGATACATATAGTTGCTTGAAGTGTAAGTTAAGGGAGAGGGTGGGAGAAAGGAAACTGGATGTTGAGATTGATGGGAGAATAGTGAATTGACCTGCTCACAGCCCTAGTAGTTTATAGTAAGTGTTCTAAAAGGGGAATAACGTTTGTGGGGAGGGACACATGTCCTGAGGTTAATGTGCTCCCCGCCTTGCACTGTACACTTTCGGGTGGAAAGAAAGAGAAAACGCCATGGTTCTCACTCTCCAAAGGCCTCCTCTCCTTAAACAACTATTTAAATGCGCAGATTCAGGACTGGCTGTCGGCACCAAACAAAGCCCTCTAGCTTTGCATAGCACAGCAAAGAAAAAAGTGTCAGAACAGAAAAAAAATATATTTTCTTCCTCTCTCTCCTCCCCCTCCATAGTTATGCAAATTGGGTAAAGGAGAGAGTTTTAAGTGGAGCTGAACTTGACTATATGGCATCATATTTCTTAAAAGAAACATATGTGATGAAGTGGTTTGTGATAATTTTTTCAGTTTTGAGCATTATGTTAAAATAGTTCCCATCTAAGGTATTCATATCTTTTTTTTCAGTGCTAGGAAAGCTAATGATATTCTACTGACCCTGGTTAGACTTATTTGTTCACTTTTCTTTAGCAAGCAGACTTGATCTCCCTTGGGAAGGTGGTGTTGTCTTTGGCTTGCAATTCTCTGGCAGGAATTCAGAGGGAGAATTTGCAGAAAGCAATGGAACTGGTGACAATCAACTATTCCTCTGATTTGAAGAATCTTATTTTGTAAGTTACTTTGAAATCAACTTCTTTTTAAACTAGGTTAAAACATGCCAGTGACAATTTGCTTACGGTTTGTTCATGCACATTGTTAAATTGGGAGTGGCGGTTCATGGGATGTTTCTACATCGAATGTGTGTGCACAAGATCCTCTCTAGCATGATAACTTGTACCTTGGTACAGCACCTATGTGGAAGGATTTCTGTATGACTGTTCAGATATAGAGGGATGGCGGTGAGTGGGGAAGGTGTAGAAACAAAAGTAATTTACCCTCCTAATTAGGAACGTTGTGTAGCTGAATCTCTTGAGTTACTGTTGACTTGTACTGAAATTAGCATGAACTTAAAAAATAACAATTTATTGTCCTTAACCTTGAACTTAAGCATTTTTCAGATCCTAATATATTTGTTGTTAGCTCCTTATGCATTATAGTAGTATAGTAAAAGTTGCATTATATTGGAGTTCAAATTCCCATTCTGCCATGAGGCAGTCACAACCTATTCTGCCTTACAATATTGTTGTGAGGATAAAACATTGGAACCAGGTGTCCTGCCTGAAGTTCTTGGAAGAAGAGCAGGATAAAAGGAAAAATGGAAAACAACTTTGCAGTACATCATCAGCCAGTCACATAAATATAGCCTCGAATGTCACCTCCTAATGGTGCTACTGTCTTTCACATAGCTGCAGTGGTGTTAAATGTTCTGTATATGAAGTAGAGCTTTGTGCCATATTTTCACTTTTATAGATTAATAAAATTAGCTTCCACAGATGGAACCTCTTTTAAAAGAAACTTATTTATTTAGCCCTGTTTTTAAAGTAACTTTTAAAAACTGCCTTGTTAGGTATTTGCTGACTGACCAAAACAGGCTTCGAAGTGTAAATGATATCATGCCTATGATTGGTGCAAGATTCTATACTCAGTTGGATGCTGCCCAAATGAGAAATGATGTAATAGAAGAAGACCTTGCAAAGGTAAATGCAAAGATAGTGCACATTCATCTCTATTTTCTTAGGGAAGCTGATATTGCCAACAGGTTCCCAAAGTCTGTAAATGTAGTACAACTGAGACCTGCCATCCTGCCATAGGGTGATGTACCCATCTGCCCCCCCCCCCCCCCCGTTGCTGTTTAAATGATAAGGCATTTGGGAAGATACTGTGTTACAGATCAGTGGTTTTCCAGCCTCAGAGTCTCCACAAATTTCACTTTGATCCATACATATTCACATACCTCATTGGCTAATAATCTATTTAGTGGAATGGTAAAGCTATTCACTTCTGCCCATTTTAGAAAGGCAATGGTGAGATGCAAGGTATCTCAGCTAAGATGCTAACTGGCTGGCAGTGTTTGAAACTCCCATTTTTCTAGACACATTTTGAGATAGGGAATCTCATTAGCACGAGCAGTTTCTGAGCTTTGGATACAGTACTGTGCCTAAGATTTAGGTTCAAACTGCAGAGTGGAAGGAAAGGAATACCTTTTCCTGCCTTCCCACTTCCAGCTACTCGCTGAAGACTAGAGAAGACACCCTCTTAAGAATATTAGGGGGGTGGGCAGGGGAAGGACTAGACCATGTGAAAAATGAACATAATATTTTAGCTGCAGTTCATTCATTTTCAGCTTTGTGTTGTTGTTATGAAAAAGCGTGCCTAGACATTCCGTTGTTGTGCCCATAGCCTAGGTTTAAGGTGCCATTTAGCTCCTAGCTTTCATATCTCAGTTTCTAACACTGCCTGCCGAAGGGCACCTTGCCCTGCAGTGGTCTTCAAATAACAGCACTGATTGGAGCTCAAAATGGATCTTGGAGGCATGATGGAAATCGCTGCCCAGTGTTGTGATACAGCCTTCTGAAATATGAAGGCAAACCTACTACTTAGATCATAAAGATGTAGAAGTATATGAAAATATACTAGTCCTCCTCTGTTCTGTGATTATCAAGCAAGGTGTGATTTCCTGAATAGTCTTTTTTAAGATTAAAAGTAGATAAGGAGGTCTCTCTCCATTTTGTATGGAGTGCAAAGACTTAAGTTGAACTAAGTTCTTATTAAAATCAACACGACAGACGTTATTTCAAGTGAAATGTAAGTTTTATTCCCCCCTCCCTCCCACCTCCGGATCTAACTATATGGTTATTTGATTATAATTTATACTTTTAATAGAAGAGCAAAATATAAATAGTGATTGTCAAGCTTTTATTTTTCTCTTGTCATTTAGGAAGTTCAGAATGGAAGATTATTTCGGCTTCTTGCAAAATTGGGAACAATCAATGAGAGGCCAGAGTAAGGAATTCAGCATTTTCTGCATCAGTGTGTTATAAAGAGGCACCACAAAGAGTCTTGAATGTTCATGCATGATGATGGACTTGCAAAGTATAGAAGCCTCTGAAAGATGGGCTAGGTTACTTTGGTCAATTTGGTAGCACACTGTCCAGAACTTCTTTGTATGTGAATATGTGTTTACCACTCACTTTTCAGTTGGATAATAGATCCTGGTTTGAGGCTTGTCTGAAGATAGAGAATTACTAGTGCAAGGTGATGTTTCATAAGTTGCAAGATTCCAAACGATTTTAAAGCTCCAAACTATTGGTGCATTCTTGGGAAGGTATTTCAGTTTTTTCTCCCAACAGCAGCAAATACTCTCCAAGTGCATACAGTTGCTACAGTGCCAACTCTGGAGACTGGGAACAGTAATTGATAATTGTAGAGATTGCATTCTCCTGGACACTGTAAGTCTGACCTCAATGACTAATGATGCCAAATGTAACCTTAAGCAATAGATTGTTTCATCCAGAGCATTAGGAACTGGTAGGGATCCCCCCCCACCACTTAAAAACCTTATTAACCTGGTTTTCAAAATCAGCTAAATTATGATATCAGGAAAGAGATGTGCAGCATAGTTGCTTAAGATGCTTTTAGCCCCATGAAAAGTTTGTTTTTAATTTTAAACTCTGGACTGAAGGGTGTATCACACATTCCTCTTTCTTAAATTGTGGTGGGGAATAACTTGCTACAAAGCAGAAACTTCTTCAGAAAACACTTAGTCTGAGATGTTTATGAACTTGTACTAAGCAACACAAAACGCTCTGTTTTACAATAGATTTCAGAAGGACCCAACATGGTCAGAAACTGGAGACAGATACCTCCTGAAGCTGTTTAGGGATCATCTTTTTCATCAGGTGACAGAAACGGGCACTCCTTGGATAGACCTCAGTCACATTATCTCTTGTCTTAACAAGGTAAATGAGTGACTGTATTTTACATTTATTGCAGATAAACTATGTAACTAGTCTGTCTTTCCTCCTCCTGTTATTTTTAATTGGGCTGCAAGCAAGTTGTCTTAAAGCAGATATGGTTCTCAAATTGGTCTTCAGCTGTGTGTGCAGGTGAGTTCACACGGTGTGCATGGTGGCGCTGTTAAAATGCCCTAGGTGTCAGTGGTGCAAATGAGTGCTTCATTGGCTGCATCAGAAGCAATGTTTGCATGTGAGACACACTGGCCTGGCTCAGATAGGCCACTAAACCCTACCTTTGTGGTACAGTGATGCATTGCAGGGAGCCTTGGACTTGCCTGCTCCCCTCTTCATCTGTGTTTTAAAACTAACTGGCTCTACATCTGTCAAGGACAAGTTGTTTGTAGTTTAAACTGTGGTTTATTGAAATATGCCAGGATCAAACCGTAGTTTCTGACCATGAATTGTTTCCATAAAAACCGTAGTTTAAACCTACCAGTTTGTTTTTGTCAGATGTGACAAACTGTGCTCAGCTTAAAAAGCAAATTCTTCCAGTTTGGTGGCTTCATTGGAGGAGGAGAAAGGAGGAAGGGGAGCATCAGCTCAAAGGTAAACCAGGCTTTCCCCCGTTGTGCTGCTAAACCAGGCACCCCCAAACTCGGCCTTCCAGATGTTTTGGGACCACAACTCCCATCATCCCTGACCACTGGTCCTGTTAGCTAGGGATGATGGCAGTTGTAGTCCCCAAACATCTGGAGTTTGGCCGAGTTTGGGGGTTCCTGTGCTAAAGTTGTGGTTTAGCTTTACATCTGAACCCTGGCCTCTCTTGTACATATTCAGTGAAAATTCTATTGTTGTGTCTAGTTCAAAATGGTTGACCTCTTACCATTAAATTTAGAAGCTGATAGGGATCTCTTCGTTCAATTTAGACTTTAAGGAACAAAATGCCTAATGCACTTAGACTAGACCAATCCCTATCTTTTCCCAGTCCTCTTGCCCTAAAGCTATTTGTTGTGTTGTGCTGTGTGGTTTATGAATGATTGCCTGTTTGACTTTTCCCACTTGTCGTGTAATCCTGCATATGGAAAGCTACTACATGCTGAACGATTTTGAGGGTTCTTTCAGCGAATCCTATAGTTTTAACTGTGCACTGTGTGACAAAGTACTTTCTTTTGTCCTGAATCTTTCATTGGATGGCCCTGGGATCTAGTATTATGAGGGGGAGAAAAACATCTCCATCCATTCCCCCCTCACACACAGAATTCTATACAGCTCTATCATAACCCCTCCTTACTTACTCTCCCCCCCCCCCCACCAATAAAAAGCTCCAAATAGTGCAACCTTTCCTCATAGGGGAGTTGCTCCAGCCCCTTGATGGTTTTGGTTGCCCTTCTTCACCTTTCCCAGGTCCACAGTATACTTTCTGAGGTATGGTGACCATTATTACGCATCATTGAAATTGCAGGTATGCCATAGATCTGGATAATGACATTATGACATGGGCAGCTTTATTTTCAATCCCTTCCCTAGCAAGCCCTAATTTACCCTTTTCGCAGCTGTCACATCCTGGGTCGATATTTTTATTGAGCTGCCCACCCCTGCCCCCACCACATTTCCTTCTCGTGCTGCCTCAGAGGGGTTCCCAAACTCCTGGAGCAGATTTTTAGCAGGCACCCGAGGCTGCAAGGAGACGTTGATCAGAGTTGCAGGCTGAACTCTATATTCAGGATGCTCCCACCACATGAGCACACCCAAGATCCCAGCCAAAACCATTAGTTTTGTGAATATGGTATCAAGTCCTACTATATGAATATAAATGGAATTTTTCTGCCCTTTGATTTCAGCTAGATGCTGGTGTGCCAGAAAAAATAAGCCTCATTTCCAGAGATGAGAAGAGTGTACTTGTGGTGACGTATAGTGACCTAAAACGCTGCTTTGAAAATACTTTTCAAGAACTGATTGCAGCCGCGAACGGCCAGTTGTAGTACTTGCTGAAAGCATGCAGGACGTTGCTGAAGAACATAACTAATAGCAAATTGCACTACAGCTGATTGTCGTCATCTCATTTCACATTTTGGGAAACAAAACAGCAGGAGATGTTGCACTTCAGTCAGGTACACTGTTACTTGAAGGGAAGAATGTTTTTGCTTACCCTTGAGCTCTGGCTGCCATTGGAGGCTTTATCTGTGAAGAATTTATTTTAAAATAAGGAACGCATCAGGAGTATGATGTTCCTGCTTTTATTTTTTCCACTCGTATATGCACTAATTTTAATTTTTTAAAGACTTTTCTGATCTCTGATGTTTTGCCACATTGGATACTTACTAAGGGAATCTCTTTGCAAGGACATTTCTGGGATTTTTATTTTATTTTTTGCCACTGAATATACTGCGGAATTTATTTGTTTTGATATTATTTGCACCCCAGAATACTATAAAGGACCAGGTGAATAATTTCATAGAAATTGTGTTCTGTAAATTTACAGTGTAGCTTGTAACCTCTGTAAAACCGTGTCTTATGCCACCCACTGTTAGGTTCACCAATCAAAACCAAAAGATGCATATTTTTTAAAAAAGGAAGAAAAAAATCAAGTTGGGTATTATAGAAATCTCACATGTAAAATCCCCTTTTATTTGTCTGAAGCTTTGTCTAAGCAAAGCAGCACCATTTTGAGATCTGTAACTTTGAGAGCATATCCCAGTTGCTCTAAACACAACCAGCGCCTTTTAAATAAAATACCTGTTTGTATATTTTACTGCTAGTCAGATGCATTCACATTTATGCAATTTTTAATAGAATTTTTAAAAGGAATTGTGTTACAGACCTGAGGATTCGGGAGTTTATTCATTTAATTTACTTACGGTATCCTTTTTTTGTATAAAGTTTTGTTCTTTGAACCACAGCTTTATTATGGTACTTTACACTGGATACAGATACAAAGACACTGTTTGGAAGATTAACTACACACAGCAGTTGTCTGGCATCAAGAGCTTTTGAAGTTTTATAGCCTGATTCTGGAAGAATGGTGGTCTGCTGTGCCTTTGCAGTCACTGCTTAGCCCAAAGTAATATTACTTTTGATAATACTCAACACATGAATATTCAGTCTTCAAGCCTGGGATTTCTTTCCCCGCAATTAACTTTCTGATATTGGACCTGCATTTGTCCGCAAGCTTGGGTATTCAAGGGAATTTGTAGTGGAACACCTACACTTTGATACTGAAGACTGCCAAATACGTATAATTTTCCCCCTTTCTTAAAGCAGTAGTGAAGACTGTATATCTGCGTCCTTTTCCCAGCACTGAATGTTTTAATAGCACTGGGTGCTCACCATGAAGACAGTGTGGAAACTCTCTCCCAAAGGTGTCAGGACAGACTCAAAGCACTTGCAACTGATGTTACTGGCACCCATTTTATTAATTCTCAATATTTGTAATTTCAGGTGAATTTTTAATAATTCTGTCCAGTTTTATAAGCTTTAATGATGACACTCCTTTAGATTTGCCTCAAGGAAAGCAGTGCTCTTCAGAAGGAAGGCTGTGGAAGACTAGGGACACCTGTTGCGCCTCCAAATGAGAAATTGCAGAGCCTGCGGTTTGGTAGCGTAAATAAAATCAGTTGTTTTATCTGGAAAAAAATTTAAACGGAGCATAATGTTTAATATTGAGAAGAGAACAGTTGCCACACTGTTGTTCTTTTTTTTAATGTCCAAAGGAACAGGGACTTTGAGATACGAACCTGGCAACCAGTCTTTTATCATTCGCTCATGTATATGAGGAAGAGCAGCTGTCTTTTTATATGTTTTTGAAAAATCACATTGTAATTCTTTTGTACAAAAAGTAGTACTTGTATTCTAGGAGAAATATTGAATGCTTAATTTATATGCGGGCTGAGGCTTTTTCTTTTCTTTTCCCCACTGTTGTTTTCTTTGAAAATGAAAGGGATCATCTCTTCAGTTGCGGGAACTGGGAACCTTTGACGGATTATTTTGTGGACCAATATTTTGGGAAAAGCAAAAGCAGGGGTGGGGCATGTTTGTAATGCAGGGCCTTCAGTCTCATCCTTGCTGTACCAACATGCCCACCTCTGAAACGGCAAGTTGCGTTTTGCTTATTTGTCTCATTCTGTAAGTGTACATTGCTTTAGCCCCAGTAATCTCAGGACTTGGTTTAAGGTTAAAAAAATAATAATTTTGAAAAAGAGAGCAGAGAGCCAATAAGTTTCCATAAGTAAACGCCATCCAAGAAATTTCTGCTGTTGGGTAATGCATAGAACAATGTGGAGTATTGTTTGTTTTTATTTGGTCTGTGTTTTGGAATTTTCTGCTTTGGTGTTTTTTTGGGGAGAGCCCTTCTACTCCAATATAATTCCATTTAGAAGGCTGTCCAGAAACTAGCATGTTCCATTCATTGGAAGAGTTATGTATGTAATCCCTAAAACAGCGCAGCAATGTTTTTCTTAAACAAGGCACACTTTTTTCATGCGGGGAAATGATTCTGACCTTCCTATCTTTACAGCTGAAAGCACAGAAAGGACAACCTTTTGAAATCATGTGATGTTAGTCCATTTAAATTTTCTTACCTGTTCTTAGGTTGCTTGTTTGGGTTTTTGTTTTTGCTACACTGTAAATACTTTATTCGGGGTACATAATGTCTTTCTTTTCCTTCTAATTTTCCCTTGTTCCAGTAAAGTTTTAGACGTGAACAGCTTCCCCTAAAAAGCACCAGTGTTACATTCTGATGTCATGATCCCACTCTGTGTTACCTTTTAATCTTGTTTTTCATTCTTTTCATGTGTACAGCAGTATTTTTAATAAAGAATACCAGAAATAACACAGCCTTCTTTTGAGCATGCAAAGGTGTGGGTATTGTGTGCCACTTCTTGTGTAGTTGACGTAAACTATTTTATGGAGTTGTTTTCTTCATATTTTACTCCACCCCACTCCACTGCAGGGTTTGGCTTGCAAGCATTGTTTATCTGGTGTTCAGATACAGTATGCAGTCTCAAGAGAACAGTGATGTGCATTTCTTGCTCATAGGCAAATGGTAGAGCTAGCCTGTTCGTTATCAAACTGACTCCAGGTGCTGAAGTAGTCTGAACCCTCTGAAAAATGCTTTTTAAATAACTTCCACTTTTGTTAGAGCTCCCATAACAAATTAAGATACATTTGGCAATTTACTTATTGGAAAATTGCTCACGAGTTTTATGTAGTTTTCCATTTTTTATTGATTTGAACTGTTAACTGAAAAAATATATGTTAAGGCATGGTCAAGGCCTTTGTACCCTCAAACCTCCCTGTGATATGTTTTATATAAAGTGTAAAAAGTCATAGAACTTTATACAATTTCATAAAATTGCCAGTATGTCTTTTTCTTTGCATGAATTAATCTGGACCACCTGTTGCTTGAAATGAATTTTGCTTAGAAAGTTCATTCTGCAAGTAGGCTAAAATGAAAGTTGCTGCAAGTTTTGCTTCGTACACTTATCTCTGGCAGTCAGAGGGCAGAAAAACTTTAGGATCCTGCCAGATATTTTTTTAAAACCTGCAAAAAGTCTGCAAGACCAGTTTTCATCTTTACACCTTCTAAAAGTGCACGCCTGGCCTTGCTGTTCATTGTCCCTGGGTTTTCTTTCTCAAGCTGGAGTATGCTTAACAGGAGAAGCTCCAAGGGCTTCACCTTGTGTAGTATTTTGTGAGCATGTGGGTTGCAAAAGCATGCTTGCACATCATATTGGCCCATGTGCCAGAGGATAAGGCTTGTCTTCAACTCCTTTCTACAGCTACACACGATGGCAAGCACATCTTTCCTGCTGACAGCTTTGAATTCAAACGATGCCTTGGGCAAGTACAGAATTCTATGCATGCAACTGCATATCGACCATGGAGAAAAAACTCACCTTTAGAAGGGCCCAATGATCCACAGAATGAAGAAACATCTCTTTATCACACTACCAGTCACTTAGCTTGAATTCATCCCCTTGAAACAAGGTCGATCTTCTGACAGGCCTTGACAAATACTTTGGCTACTTGAAATTGCTGCTTCAAGCCAAAACCGACCAATTCAGTGAGACACTTCTGCAACATTATAGAATTATGATGAACACAAGCAAACCAATCTCTCAAATGGAGCTCGGAAATAAACTTTATTGTGAAACTTTAGGAAGCATATGTAAAAATAGACGGTAAAAGTTAAGGCACAAGTAGGAGATATTTACATCCAGTTAAAGAATGCTTTTTAAATTCCAGTTTTTTTTAAAAAAAAGGTTCGTTAAAAGCATTAGATTTGAATATAAAAAATATTTGTTTTTACAACTACTAATGCCCTACATGAAAATAAACCCAGGAGTTTCACTCCTCAGCTCTTTATAGATCCATTGGCTTTAATAATAGAGTCATGGCTAAATAGTTGGCTGATGTTCCATCTGATGAAAGAGCACAAAGGTTACAGACTTACGGCTTCACAAACTGAGTGTTCTAAAATTCTCCAGCACCCAAACACTTTTCACTCTATTGGCCTTGATCCAGCTCAGGTTAATTGTGACAAATTGTCACTGAAACCAATGAATCAAGTTTAGGCATAACCAACTTGGAACAGCAGGACCGACATCAGCTGCTTTTACAGAACAGCCATCGTGGTAAATTACTGGTCAGCCAAGGCAATGGTTCACTACCATAACTACCTGCCCCTTGGCAAAATGAACCTAGCAGCACACTCTTAGCACTAAATAAATTCAATAGTTGCAATAGCAGCAGCACAAGATTCAACAGGTATTTCAGACAGTGCAAAGCTGCAGCTGGGTGCAGGTTTTATTGCTGATTAGCTACAGCAGGTTGGCCTGATGTGCCTCTGCTGTCACTTGCAGCTGGGAGTATAAAAGCAGGCTATAGTATAATAGATACATAGAGAACTGTGTCTTCTCTCATGGAAAAAACTAAGATGCTGCGCCAGTATTGCCTCAAGAAAACCTGAATCCTACCTGTGTTTATTGTGCATATTTACTTTGTGCAGTGTACATGTTGCTTCAGCAAACTACAAGGTAAAGAGCTATGCAGGGAGCTGAGGCCCCAACACCCTCTGTATGGTTTTGAAATGTTTAATAAGGTATTGCAGAGCCACCCTTGCCCCTGATGCATTCATTGGGTCCCCATTACATCTGCTTGAACTGTTTCTACTGAACACACTCCTTCAAAAGCTGAAACAATTCCACAGCAGCACGACAGCAAAATGGGTATGTATCTACAAAACTTTGTGGGTAAAATAAAAGTGCAATCTCCCTTAAGCATATAACTAAGTAGACCAGAAGCAGCTTCTAGCCTGGTCAGTTTCACCATCCTCCCATAGCATTGCCCGAGATCAGTGTAAGGATCTGTATTTAGGAAGTGAGAGAAATACAGTGCACAGGGTTCCCTTCCTGCTGTCCCCCTCACATTTGAATAGTTACTGGGTTCTTGTGGTTCTTGCTGTTGGGTGGAAGCTAGTGCTACAGCCCAGACATAGCCTGTACTCTACAGAGGTGCTGTTGGGTCATTGAATAACAGGAAGGAGCATTCAGTATTTTAAATGGTAATAGTGGAGAGATGCAGCTCAGTGGAGGAGCAGCTGCTTTGAGTAGTTCAAAGTCCGTCCTTGCTACACTGGAGGAGTGGAATAGCGAACCACCGAGTTATAGCTGGGAGGAGAGAAGCCCTGCATCTGCTTCCCTTCCCAGCCTGTGCTGCCACAGGTAAATGGCAGAGTCACATCGCTGATGTGGC